TTCAAAAGGATGGTAGCATTTTTTCTTCTTGCAGAAAAGAAGGACCAATGTTGTAGATACTTGTTTACTTCCAGAAAAACTCTGGAAATTAGCTTCTACGGACATCATGCAATGTTCATTTTAATATTTCTACCAACCTTTGTATTATACACACTACAAACATTGATGGGGAGTCATTTTACCTCATCCCAACAAATATATTGAGTGAAAAATACATAAAATGGAGAACAGGTTCAAATTTACCTTTTAGAGGAGGATATAAAATTTTCTAGCCCAGAGACTTTATGAAGCTTATAACAATAGCAGGGAGATCCAGTGTTCAAAATATCTCTTCCTCAAGTTGTGAATTGCTTTCAGTAGGTTGCAGTCATTCAGAATTTCCCACTCTGTTACATCCCATTTTTGGCACTTGTCACAGTCAATTCCCTGCCTTATCATGACTTTTCACTTGTTCATCCCCAGACTTGGTATGTACAATCTACACCTTTTTGGCTATGCTTCATACACCAGACTGTAGTTCTCAAAATGTTTGGTTCTTGTGTTACAGGACTAACTTTGTCCAAAAAATGATGGGACATTCTTTTTGCCCAGTCAGTGTACATATGTCCAGATTTTCCCTGATCATTCTTTGGGCCCTGTCTCAAGTGAGAGTAGAGAAAAATCATGCAACATTGAAAAAAGTTTCAAAATCATGAACAAACATAGTAGCTAGTAAAGCAAGGTTGACCCACGAAACTAGTCCTGTGCATATCACGCCCGTCGAACCGTGTCAGAAAATTGTTATGTAATCTTCGGACTTCGAAACCGCGTCGCGTCAATATTGTGGTATTCCCTCGTACTCTTGACGTGTTTATAGGATTACAACAGTCCCTATCGCTATAAATTCAATTCGTGTTTCATTGGAAGTTGAACCTCGATGGAAGAAATGTTCGATCCTACAAGAAAACGCCCGTCATTGCAGTGCCGGAAATCCCTCAATACTTCAAGCTTCCCCTACCTTCCACGTCGAGCTCCTCCCTGCTTTTATCTCCAAGCGACCTTCAAGAATCACCATCTACCACGTTTCTGTCGCCTTTGGGCTCTCCCTTCAATGTCTTAATGTACGGATCAACCAGCCAACCTCGATTGAGGCAATCTCACCACAGCGACGAACAAAACATCACATACAAGTTTGAGCGAATGGAAGCGCTTCTGTGAGACTTTGAATTCGATTCTGTTGGAGAAATCTTGGAAGTCCTGTTCCACAATCCGAGTCGCATCTCTGGGGAATCCGATCCTCGAGGTTCTTTTCACGCGAAGGCCGTATCTCGATTTCTCTAAGGACGGAACAAGGTCAAGATGTCCGATATTATTGTCCTCATCTATACACATAAACACAGCGCACCCTCACCATCTTCACCACTTTATTCCGAGCGTCATGCCCCGTTCTCTCCTTCCGTCTCTCCTGCTCTCCTGCTGAAATATCTCATGCTCGTCCTTCCTTATTCTCATGGGCAACCAACCTTGTCGCTACACGCGTTCATCAGGAGATCGTATCGTGAGCCGTACCGTTCTTAACGCTTGGTTGTCGTCTGAAAATCTGCAAGAGATGAGGCTGTAGTCGTGTTAAGAAATAGAGTGAAGTAAACGCACAGCATTGCACCAATAATGACCCCCGACAAAAACCAAGTGATCGTAGTACCGATAAGCTGGAAACAACCGTAATCTTCTGCGTTACAAATTTCAAACGAGAGGTGTGGTACTAATGTGTTCGACATAAACAAACGCATGCGTGCGATTTCATCATGATCACTTACATAGATATGGCCATTGTAGTACTAGACGTCGCGGGGGGCGGCCATCCTTCTGATGACAACACTTGAAAGTGGGAGGCAAGTCCATTTTGGTATAAATTTCTTCACGATGGTGCGTATGGTCGCTACGCCGACTCTAGAGTCTAGAGTCGTGCCAGCGGGCTCCTGTGGTCATCTGCATAGGTCTGTAAGATTCAATCCAGTCAAAAAATGAAGTAAATCCGGTTACAAGAAGTGTAGTGCTCGAAAACCGTTGAATGTCGCGTCGACAATGAAGGAACTGGAGATATATTGACGCGACGAGCTCGGACCGCTGTTTCAAAGTCCGAAGATTACATAACAACTTTCTGACACGGTTCGGAGGGCGTGATATGAAACAGACCACATACACACGTGAACCGTACAACACATAAAAAATTCACTTGTATCGTGGTCTGTCTACGAGAGACTACCACGAAACTAGATAAACCCATATTTGATCCAAATCATGCTTACCCGTGGGTATGGATAAGTAATGGTGACACCCGTGTCCCTAGCTTGGAGGTTATGAGAGACTCTATATAATAATTAGGATAGGATTCTAGTAGTCCTCGCAAAAGCAAAACTTTGAACAGAAAACAAAAGCAGCGCAAGTTGAATGCCATTTGGATAACAGCCCACCAGTCTGAATCTACACATCTCTCATAATGCAGTGATTACCGAGCGCAACCACTCATTACTCTGGATGCGTGGCTGAAATTCTGCAACATATTTCTTGAGCTCCTCCAACTGAGCTTCTGGCGATAGGTCATCCGCCATAACAGTATCGTCTCCATCCTGGTCCAATGTTCGTGTCGATGAGGACCACGCTGCCAAAAGGTCTTCCATGATTTGGACTCCCTCTTCCGTGACCTTCTGTGAGATATCACTGGCCATCTCCTTGTTTTCTGCAAAACACTCCTTAACGTATGTTGCTAACAGAACTGAGAGGGATCTTACCACCGCTGAAATCTTCCAGCTCGTCGGCTTTCCTTTTTGCCAGCTATATGACAAAGGCAGATGAGAACAATATTCATCCTTGACATGAAGGTTACCCTACCTTGACAACGCTTTCTGGGAAATTAGCCAATTCCGCAACGTGGATACCAAAACTCTGATCAGAAATGCCTGCAGATCTTACATATATTGCAAGACGATACATCAACAACGGAAACATACCAGGTTCGACCTTGTACAGCAGTGTAATGGCTCGGTCCCGATAACTCTTTCCAGACATAGAGGCTTCGATATGCGCAACGACGTGCAAGTTCTTGACATGTGGAATTTGTTGATCTAACGCAGTCAGCTCATGAAAGTGAGTTGCGAAGAGACAGAAGGCGTGTATTTGTGATGCGATATGTCTGCAAATATAATCATCAGCATATCGGTGTTTGAGTTGGTCGCAATGAGTACTCTGAAATTGCCCATGCGAGTCCGAAACCATCATATGTTGACGTTCCTGCAAAAGTTAAGCTAGCATCGCAACAAGAGATACAGGGAACAAACCTCGCCCAAGCTCATCAATGATGATGAGAGAGTCTTTCGTCGCCGACTATTTCAAATGTTCAACCAATATGCGGTCACCAAACACAAAATACTCGCTTGAAGAATCGTAGCGGTCTCCAGCATTTCCGCCATGAAAGTTGAAACACCCTTGAGCTGACTGTCACCAGCACCAACCCTGCAAAGAATAGAGTCGAAGATGGGTACTTCTGCTTCTTCGCAGGGAACGAAACATCCCACTTGCGCCATCAGGGAAACCACGCCGACCTAGACAGAGGTAAGGCGTGCCAGCAGCGGAATAAACAGGTTACTCACCTGGCGAATATACGTCGACTTTCCCCCCATGTTCGGTCCCGCTTAGACGGAACTCAGAATGTCTACGCAGATATACGCCTAAAGTCCTTACTTATAATTTGGAACTCGCTAGAATCTAGTGCAATTTGGTCAGGGTCCAAAACTGTAGAAAAAAAAGACAACATACCCTTTATCATCTCGACGTCGTTGGCAATGAAATCAACCTCGTCTTGAACTTCTAAACAAGGATGCCTTGCTTGCTTCAGAATGAGATTGCCAGAGCCTTGAGAGTAATTAGACTTTGACTAATTGACAGAAGGTCATCAACGCAACCTTTTTCGACCACTCTGGGTTTGACGTAGGGCGTTGGGGCATTCACTGAGACGTGAGCGAGGCTATAACAATAATCATCAGTGAACAAGGCGGTCGTCTCTAATGGTTTATTTTGCCTGATGATGACATCCAGGTTGGCAATGATCACATCGACAGTTTCAAGAACAGGAGTGTAAGTTGCTAGATTTTTGTTGGGGTCAAACAACGAGACTGAGATTTTGAGACGTCAGATACCAGCAATGTTTATAACCTCTTTGACGAGACCACTCTGGGTGCGACTGTACGTTTGCGATAACTCCGCGAAGTCCTCCGCAAGTTGTTTGAGGGCTTTGGTCCTGAAAAAAACGCCACCTTTGTTCGTGTTGAGTTCCGTATATTTATCTGTGAGGTTTTTCGCATCCTGTGTAATTTAGTTCGACTTGATGGCGTTGAAACAAGCAAAGTATTCACAGCTTTTGTAACACGGAGACAATAGCCATTGACCGGGTGGTTTTGGAGTTGAAGTTTTTTGTCAAGGTCCAAGCCTAGATCTTTGCCAGCTTTGCGATGCTCGTTATCTAGTCCATCGCGCACCTAGATAACGAAAAAGACCCCATTTAGCAGAAAATAAGGTAGAAACGCCGATAACTTACATCTTTCAACTTCTCCGCAAGTTCCTGAAGCGTTGGATGGAAATCTGATTTTATCACGTAGTTGTGATTGTCAAGCTCGTCCAAATCAAGGGTTTGTTCCACCATTTCCGCATACTTGGACAGATTTGCTTCGCACTCCTACCAGTTTGTCAACGGTGACTTATTCTCTAGCTGATTCAAGATGGTCGGGCACCTTCAGAGGTTTCAAAAAGGTTTCGTCGACCAAAACTGAGTATTCGTCGTTTTCGGATTGAATGCCCCCGAGTGTTTCAATCATACCAGGCAACTACGTTGGAACTATCAATAGGAATGTACAACGTGGATGTGTAAGTGCGAACCTTCAGAACCATTTGGTAAACTCTGACTACGTCCTCAAGGGAAGCGGCGGACCTTTGAAAACGTTTGCTAAGGCGTTGAATGTCGGGCATCATTTTCAAATAATCATCCTGTATAGGAAACACAGGTGAGCCTTCTCACAAGAATCACATTGCTCCGTTCGAACCTGCAACGTCCTACGGCTGTTAGTATCCTCTACAAACGTCTCGACGAGATTTTGACGTTTATCTGAATTGTAATGAATAAAACCAATGAAGAAAACTCAAGAGGAATACGGACGGATCTCATGCAAGTTCACTAATGGCTGCTTTAACCAAACGCCAAGTAATCTCGCTCCCTGCGCCGTTTTGCACTTGTTCAAAAGACCAAAGAGGGTAGTGTTTCGAGTCGTGGTTCCCTGGGCGAAGTTAATACAAGAAGAAACGAGAGCATGAACAAACTAACAACATTCCCTGGCGCCTCGGTCAAGCTCAAAGCTCTGGTTGCACTTGCATCAAGCTTCATGTATTGAGACAGATCGTGAGTGAAAATCTTGTAGGCATCATGATTTGAGGGATCAGAAAGAAGAGACAAATAGGTGACCAGAGCCGAGAGCGCAGACGGCGCAAAGGGCAGCAACAATTGAGCTTATACACAAATGTCAGCAATTAGGAACAGCACAATGAGTCAAATAACATACGGATAGTCATGGAAACATCCGCAGAGGATGAGGCTAACGAATTTTTCAAAAGACGTGGCAGATCATCTGCAATATTTTTGGCAGTAAACTCGCCTGTGGACAATCACGTTGAGACAAGGCAGGCGGTGTTGATGCAACGACATACTCGGTTTGCGCTCTGTGATGACCACCCCACACCGATCTAATACCGATTTCAATTTATTCAAATCTACGTCGCGGTCCGTAGTTCCCGAGGCAGTCCCTGTTGGAATGACAGCTTCCTTGACTGAGAGTTGGATGACGAGGGACTGTTAAGGTTGTTGGTCAGACCCCAAACCCTTGTTCCAAGAAACTAAACCTCACTTCCAAGTTGGAAAAGAGATCATTATCCACGAAATCCGCAACACCTAACTGTCGGATGCTTGTGTCTGCAAAAGCGATGCCGATTGACTTCAGCTTCCCTTTCGCACCGGACGCGCCTGCTGGAGCACTGGCAAGCTTGACTGCCATAACTATCGGGGACGACAGTAGGTCCGAATTGACGAAGAGAAGATCCTCCACAGCTTGCAAATTTCCAGGAGAAGCCTATGATGCATGAAAGCTATATGTGAGCGCGACCTCTCAAAAACGTCAACATTCATCCACTGCTCACCTCCTTATCTAGACGGAATTTGGTTTGCTTTTTGCCTTGGCCTGGTTCTGGTACCCATATCTCGACTCGAAGTTGCTTTGTTGTCAGTGCTTCCCTGAGCAAAGTCTGCGCTACGGAAACCTTGAGGGCGACACTAGGCAATTTTCCGCCGCTACCGAGATATTTAATGACTGAATTTGTGTGAAATACATGTTGCGCGACAAAAGTGGCATCAGGCCCATAGGCTGAGTAGAATTCATCGCTTCCTGTTCGGTGGAAAAGTCGAAGAGTTCCTGTTTCTGGTGATTTCTTCGGTAGCTTGTTGAAGAAGGGGATAAAAGCTATGTCGGTCGTTTGATCTATTCTGCGTTTAGGCCCAGACAGTTCACCGATGACAATAAATCCATTTACCGTCGCGGTCCGCGTCCTTCTCTTTACCGTACATTGGGGATGTGCAGCGCGAACACCGTGACAAGACGCGTTTAAGTAGGCGCGTTTATGCGTGACAGTAACTGTCACCAAGTCCGAAAGTTCCCAAGTACCAGGCAACTATCAGGTTCCAACATTCCCAAGATATGCATTGCTCAGCCCAGGCTCAGCGCTCAGTCTTTGCATGATACTCCCCGCACTACTCTCGCTGATTTCATATCCGCCCTTTGCAAAAATCCTTCGATTCTCAACGAATTTTTGACCAGGGAGTCGGGGTTAGAACCAAGTTAAAACAACCATCCGAATACTCTGCAAGGAACTGAAGTTGGTTGGCTTCACGACGAAACTTCTTTCCAACAAAAGCCGGAAATCTGGAGGTTGAAGATGCTGCGAAGTTGGCAATATAAAGACTGTCTTCTCTGACGTTCCTGAAGAAAACTCCCGCCTACTTCGGTTATGTTATCAAGCACTTACATACTTGAATGATCATGTTTCCCAAGACTGGGATATTAGGAACGACACCTCTCTGGCCTCAGATCAGTGAGTAGTTTCAATTATTACATCGGCTTTTTAATGAAAACGATTAGTGTACTAGCCTCCGCTGGTTAACGAAAAGGACGAATCAACTACCCTCACTGCAATTGAAACCGAAGAAGCCTGACTTCGAATTTCCTAATCGCAAAGTACGATTTGCGGTGGCCAGGCTGTGGCGGTGCTATTATGTGTATTAGCACCCACACCTACCCAAGACCACCCTACAAAACGCACGTCAAGCACGCTTCATGTCAAACAACCCCAAGCATCGCTCTGGGGCGATGCGGTCTTCATGCTCCAGCTTTGACACTTCGTCTTTGCCTTCCCCCTCCTGACATTTCATTGGCATGTCCTCTGGCATCGCAGGGAAAGCCCAAGTGTCCGACTCTTATGATTCCAAGGCGACTGCTGTATCCGTCCCCACCGACGAGATGGGACTTAAAATAGCTGAATTTCGAGCTCATCGTCGTAACAGCAACCCAGTGCATGCAGCGCCAATTTCCCTTTCTAATTTCTACCATCCAGTGAGTGCAGTTATCGATCACACTTCGGCAAAAAACCTTCTGTGGGTGTCCGGACTCTAACTTCTTTTGCCAACAGGTCGACCCGCCAACTCAATCAAAGGCATTTGGGGATGAAACATTGGCTACTCCTACGCAAAGGCTTCTGGAGGATGAGGTTGACCATGTTCAATATGCAACATACCGCGATGGGCCAACCAATAGTATGTTACCTACCTTCTTCCTACATCGTTTGGACCATTGAAAACTTTTTAGAGTCCATTATGTATCCGAGCAACGTTGAATCCTCAGACAAGGGATGGATTCCAATACCTTTGCGAAATTGGTTTTGGATCCCGTTAGTTCTGTTTCTGGTTGCTGGAGCGGGTGGCTTAGAGACCGCCTTATATTTCAGCAAGAAAGAACAAGGTGGATCTCCTTTTTTACTTCGCCACTCTTGACTAATGATTTTCAGGATGGCCTGCGAGAGAAAACGAGGCTCAATCAGTATCTCACTATATATATGTGAGTCTGCACTGACTTCAACTACTTTGAACGCTGATATTCTTTTAGATTTTCCCTCCAGTTGCAATAGCAGCTATCGTATATACTTCATCCAATCCACCTTCTTCCTATTCATGAACATCTTTTATCACAGGTTGCAGCCATGTGGACATGGACTGACATCGAAATCAAGAAGATGCAGGTCTGTTGAACATCAAGAATGCCCCATATCTACCTGATTCTCCTCCTTCATTACGAAGCCCTACGTCGATCTCGTACATGGCGATTCACCCCCTCATCGCAGTCTCTTGTTGGACTACACACGAACCAAGTAGGCGTGTCAGCTTTCACCGTGATGAACGACGAAAAAACTCACATTTTCCTAGCAACTTTGTCGTTTGGACCCGAGCAACTGCAAACAGACACTACCTGGTTGCACTTGCTACCCTGATGGTCATATTGACGCTGAGCTTTCAGCCACTTGCAGCAGCATTGCTGACTGTGACGGACACCTGGTATCAAGCACCAGGTGAATTCTTATCCACAAACAATCATCGAAGAGATTTGTATTTATGTTGATAAACCAGATGTGGTGGTGAAGAATATGGCTGCGCTTGGACTCAATCAGAACACGCAATTTAATGATTTGTCATGTGAGCTCTCCCTGTCATGGATGCAGGAAACAGCCTGATATTTCCTCAGCATTCCTAGCAGCAGCGGGTTATGCTGGTGCTACGGTCATGTACGGTTTAGGGCGCCCAGCCTTTAGCAACGGGCCCTATACCATTGCCCCCTTTGAGGTACAACCCAGCGTGATCTTTCAAGTGTTGAACTTAATGTGGCACCCAGTTGCCAACCGCTATCGCACGGAATGGGACAGTGTTTGCAAATACGACAGCAGTCAAAACCGATCCGGGTTGCCAGGCTGTCTCAGTCCAAATGACGAATGTATTGCCCGGTCGATGGTCCAACGCTGTTTCATACAACGGCTGTTCAATTACCTGGATCGTGACTAATAATTCTACTGTGCTGTTTGGTGGGTTGCAGTCTCTGGTAGTCAGTCCCGATGATCAATGCTATACACTGCTTTTTATAGGTGCTGATATACCGGCCTGTGCTACTAATCCTCCGATCCAGTTCAGCCCCATCATCTTCTGGATCTTCACGTAAGAGATCATCTCATCCTTCTCCCAATCCCTTCTCCCAAGCGATGACCTTCATCTACATCCTAGATACCAACCCACCGTTCAAGCATCCGCAACCTTATGTTTCCCGACATTCTCCCTCTGGGAAGTCAATGTCAACGTGGATCTGGCCACGAAAAATCTTACGAAAGTCACAGAGTTGCGTCCTTTCAACCAAGATCATTCTCCTTTTTCCTCTTTGTCCGCAAATCTCACTGGTCCTCCACTCAACGGACGTGCATACAATGGAGTCAGGTTCAACCTTACTGCGCCAAACCAATACGTGCTAGCCAGACAAGCTGCCATACAATTACAGCTACCCGCAGCCATCTATCAAGCTGCCTTGTCAAATCAGATTGGCTTACTAGAAAGCCTCGCCAGCGGTGTATTCTCGCAATTGTCAAGCCAAGTCTACGTGTGTTTTGTCTTTTTGCTCATTCAACTTCATACTTATTAGAGCCATCATAGGGGACTTATTTAGCTCTTGTCGCAAGAGAAGTTTACTTTTTGCCTTCTGTTGAGCCAATTACAGTAGTCGTCAAGACTTTTAGAAAACGTTTATTCCTTAAGTCAGTCACACACACTCTTCCGCTAACTCTCCCTTTCTCTTTGCTGACCTTCTTCAGCGGCACTGCCGTCCACCTGCTGGCCACTGCCATGCTTTCCTTGGCCTTTTTTGGTACCATCGTTCATCTCTTCCATCGCAAAGATCGCCGAGATTTACGACTCAACCATGAGCCTGGCACCATTGCTTCCGCCGTGTCCATTGGGGCCCAAACACAAGTAGGCAATGTTCTCGCAGGACGACAAGATGAAAGAGATATTTCGGAAGCGCTGAAAAACAAAAGGTTCAGAATCAACCCCGGAACTATGAAAATCGTCATGGAAGGGGAGGAGGGCTATGAACTCGCTAAGAGTCCAGGGTTTTGGCAAAAGGGATAATCAAAGCAGTAAGCTCTCCTTGCAGCTTTATGACTATCGCCACATACCCCTAGATGCATACATACTTACATTGGAACTCTTCACTACTGTATATTTTTCAAAGGACCCACCCACACCTATGTAGCTACACGTTCAATTTCAATCGTGGATACATCACCGTCCATGTATCACCCCCCCCTCACTTGCCCCAAGAAGGTTGAGATATTGAATGGCAATGAGGCGTTGTAATCGTTGCTGCCAAGCCCGTGCATGCATCATGAAAGAGATTGGGGAAGGGATCCCACACCAGCAAAATGATACTGTGTAATGGGAGTAACTAAAATTTGAATATCAAGGAGGCCACGAAGCGGGGCGCGACAGGTTACCAGACGGCTGCGATGGAAGCCGTGAAGTACGCGCCGAGTCACCGTTAAGCAGCCGTTGAAGTAGTGCAGTTCCTCTTATGCTCACTCCAATGCGCCTTCTGGCAGCCAGAATCACAATATCTAAAACCAAACCATCATCAGTAACAAAACACCATATTCAGCGCAACAGACAGACTCGCCTCGTCTTTGAGCACCTGCTGCCTGTTGTGACAAGAAATCATTTATCAGCACGAAAAAGAAATAGATATGACGTACATTTTCTTAACGCAGCAGAGGGATTGCCGCACCACGAGCAGCGATACAAAGCCACCGAAGAATCAGTGATCTTGGGATGCACGCAATGCGTTTCTTGTTCTTCCCCATTCGTCCCGTCCATAGACACCCCGTCCAACCACGCGGCCAAGTCGTCTTCCAGTTTTCCTGGAGAAAGGACGGGCTTCTCGACCTCAACCTCATTCCTAGATATGATGTCGGAAAATCCCTCCATGGCTTTGGGGAAAAGTTCAACCACAGATTGTTGGGCAAGTCTGAGGTTTGTCTTGGGCGGGGGAACGCCGATAAAGATGCTGAATTCGTCCGCGATTTCGAGCCGTTTGAGTGCACCCTGAGGTTCAATGTCAATCAATTGCGAGTTAAGCTGTCATGGGTTAGCACACATACCCGCATTTCACTCAAGTCAGGACTCAAATGCTCCTTGATCGTAATCGTCAACAGGATATTCCAATATGAGACATTCTTCATATGTCTGTTGTCCGGTGGTGCTTGCTCGACGTAAGTCTTCGAGTCTTCCAATGCGCTCATCAAGAACGCGATGCCTTCTTCCCATTTGTGATCCCCAGATTGAGGCGAATCCTGAAGAAGGCGGATCCCCATATCACCTGCGTGCTCCACAGCCCGTTGCATCAACTGAAATCTGACGAATGGCGTTATATCCTTGCATTTGAGACCTTTTTTCGCCGCACGAAGTCCCTGGACGTTATCCGCAGATAAGGTAATGGCATAGTAAAAGTAAGCTCCGTTTGGGTTGCGCAGGAGGGCCTTCTTTGCAAGCTCAACAGCATCAGGTAGGCGTTGTTTCATGATCCTGTATTTGATATCCAAGATGTCGGCCAGATCCTCCTCGTTCGGCCGCTTCCTCCCGCGGATTGCTTTGGCGCAGTGGGGCAGAGATTCGGCGTACATGGTAAAGGGCAACCCAACATCGGCAGTCTCGTATTTCCCCGTGCGTTCGTCCAGGTATTGGAACATGCCATCTGCGATGGAAAATTCGGTGCGCAAAATGAATTCGGCAAGCTTCAAACCAAGTTTGTACAGGTCTTTGTTCTGTGCACAAGCCACCATTGCTTTCTGAAAGTCGGTCGAAGTTTTCAAGGTGAGATAAATATCACAATCGGTCGGACCGTACGCCATCAAGACATCGTTAAGGTGGTCTGGAAACCCTCGCTGAATTGCACCGATAAATTTGTTGGGGTCAAGGCCGCGCTGGTCATCCTCCGCTTCGTGTCTGTGAAGCCGAATTAACCCGCCAAGACACGTGCAACGTATCACCCAGTCCTTGCTGCGTAGCCCAGCTACGAGAAGGTTGACGGCTGGTGGGTATGCTTTGTAGGCAGCCGTAGCGTGCAGGGTACCCATCGCGAAAAGCTCGATGGCATGATCAAGAGTGTAGGACGTTGACGCAGGTCTCTTTACGGCCTTGAGGACCTCTTGAAGAATAGTAGGCATGTCGAGCGAGGAGAGAACCTTGGGATTGGCTGGGGCAGCGCCTCCTTCACAGACTGCCACAACGGAGTGGGCAAGAGTAGTTACGGATAGCTCAGCGACTTTGTCGTCTTCAGGGTGTTCTTGCATGAGCTTGGTCAAGACATTCGCATGTTTGGCGATCTCGATGCGAATGTGGGCACCTCCGTGGTGTGTGATAGTTCCGAGAGCACGTAAGGCTAGATGGCGCGTTGACTGGATGCCAATCAAAGGCATTAATTTGTCGAGTAATCCTATTCGTGTGCTCATCAAAAGGCATGGCATTCCTAAGTTTTGAGAGACTTACCTCTTTCAAAAAGTTTATTCCTCAAGATGGAGTCCACAGACATCTTAGCGTAGATGCCCACGATGCCTCCCCTGATCCGTTCATTGTTCGCATTCCTTTGGTAAACCTTGTCGATGCGTCTGTAGATGGAATCAAAGTTGGCATGAACTTTTTTGAGACCACTACGAGTGGAAAGGTCTTCACACAATCTGTCAGCTCATTTTCACGATATAATCTTTTCTTGAAAATTTACCGGGGATGTCGAGAGTGTCACAAAGAATGGTGACGATCATACTCCAGCCTTCAGCATTATCGATATCGCCAAGAAAGACATCCGGCACAACAAGCGAATTAGATGAGCTGGCAGGAGTTTGAGCTGGACCTTTTGGCTTGCTCTTGGTTTTGCGACCACCAGGACCAGGCATTGTCACTACGTAGGAGTGAATGGCGCCAACGTGATCAAGCTTTTAGGTCGTTATCTATCTACACAGCCACAGCTTTCTTAGAGTCATCGAAATCGGTCTACCTTACAAGCCTCCCACTCTTCCACTCTTCCTTGCTGTTGCCGTCGTGTAAGCACAGTAAATTTGACGTTCCTTCATGGCGAAGGGTCATGGGAAATCCTCTGCCACCTCTGCTACGAAAAAGAAACATGCTAAAAAGCATGCTGGTCCGGTAGACGAGCCCATTCCCAAGGAGAAGAAACCCAAAGGCAAGGACAGGGGGAAGAAAAAAGAACCCAAGCAAAAGATATACATTGCTCCAATTAAACCAGCCCCCATCCAACCAGATCCCCTTGAAACCACTGGTCTCGCGCACAAACTCCCTGCCGATCTGCTTGTCGTACTACGCAGTTTCAACAAGAAAGCTCAACCCACCAAGCAACGCGCGTTGGAGGAGCTACAGTCAGCATGGGTCGACAAGTGTCAGAAGGAGGGTGAGGATAGTCCACTTGTCTATACGCTGGTGGAGATGTTGCCAGTGTGGGTGCGTTGTGCTGTATACAACGATGGAGCATACTTTAATGATAATCTAGCTGCATCACATATCAGCCCTTTTTATACATCCTTCTCGCAGGATCCGCGCTCTGACGGCCTCGTTGCATACATCTTTTCTCCAAATCTCTCCTGTACGGGACCAGATCCTCTTCTTCTTACGTGAAACGGCAACACCCTCTCAATTGGAGAGTATCCTGGGGACGTGGTGCATAGCCGCACATGATGTTGATAGGGTAGTCTCGGTTTCAGCACTGAAGGCGTGGAAGGACGCTGTTGGCTCGACTACCCAGAGTCATCTTGTGTTGGATGATGGCCGCCGTGCGTCGCTTGTAGCATTCGTGCAAAAAACAGCACTGTATCCTTCTGAGATGTATGTACATCTTAATCCTGCTCCTCCTGTTCCACCACCACCCCCGCCGTCGAAAAAAACCTCAATCCCGACGTGGAAGGACGACGGTGAACAAAACTCGCGGACAAAGGGGGATGAACAAGAAGAGGATGAACAGGACCGCAAATCAAGATTGCGCGTTGGCGCACTTGGTGTCGCTAGATGGATCTTGGGTAATCAATTCGTTTCTCAATCTTCGCCGGTTTTCCTCACAAAATTTCAGAAAATATTCCATCGTCGTCTGAAGATCTCAAGGGGCTTTTACTTGATCCAGTGCTCTGGACATCTTTGCATCATGCAGAAAAGTGCCCTTGGGCGGCCGTCGAACCCTTTGGATGGGGCCAACCCAATGTTCGCAAAGCTGCTTGGGCGCTTGTCCAGACACTTCTTACCACTCAAAAAGGTGTGCAATTACTAAATAAATAAAATCGATTCATGTTCACAGTTTTTAAAGGGCATTTGAAGCCCGTCGTTCCGATCCTGGGTCCAGCCATCCTGCGGTCAGCCTGGGTGGAACCGGATCTGGCCGTACAAACGACCATGTGGCAACCATTACTCACCTTTTTGAAGGGTATTTTCCTTCCTTGCTGGCCCTTTTGCACTGCCGATAATACTTTCAGAATTTCCAAATTCCTGGGAACTCGAACTCGAACTCACAGGAATCATAGACGAGGAAGGCGAGTCGAGCTCAGAAGACGAGAGGGAGATGGATGAGAGAAGTAAACCGACAAAACCAACATATGCATCGACGATCGGGCGACCCTCGTCTGCTTATCGAGAATTCCTCCAATTTTTGGAATTGGGGTGTTCGGGATCGCCGATGCAAGGCTACCCTACAGTCATCATAATTCTCTCATCCATCCCATCTTCGGTAAGCTTTGCGTTCCTGACTTTAAAATTTTCATTAAAAATGAACCATAGCTCATCGCGTCATATTCCTCTTCCCCATTACCCGACCTCTTCAAATCCTTTTGGGCAGCTATTGACAGTCGCGCTTTGAGTTCTCTACGCCGATCAGCAACGTCTGCTGCATTTCTCGCGTCCCTTTTGGAATGCATGGTTTTCTTGCTTAAGAGGCTCAGGAGTGACGAATCGCGCGACGGGGTTGATGCTGGAATCATCCCGCGTTCATCCTCAGAAACAGTCGAAGGTCTTGGTCAAAGTTTGGTCAAGCAGGAGTTCACTCGTGTCTGGAATGAACTGGCTGTTGAGAAGCTGAAGGTCGAGGAGAGGGCTGCCGCGAGACTCTTAGCACAGACGTTGGAGTCTTTATACGACATGAACTGGGGTACGTCTTCACATTGGGACTTGTGGGGTCGTACTGATTTTCCCTTAGGACTGTTCAACTCTGCATGGAGCGCCCTCTCAGAAGCAATGAGGCATGCCGAAGAGACGAACTCGAGCATAAATTTGACATTCAGCCTGCTGAAGGTCTTCTACAACCGGTTCAAAGATGGAACTCCCTTGAAGTTTGCTGTATCTGAGCTCCTGGTTGAGTTATTAATATCATCCGTTGACAAATGCAGGAAAGCATTCGATTCTGGTGTACCAAAGAGTGGCAGTAGCCCTTTCGATGTGCTCGTTGCCGCTCTTGATCAATTTAGGGAAGGCTTGTTCTTCGACATCAGATTTTCTGAGGTAAGTGATACGACTGTCTACCTCACTAGGTTGAACAATGATTCTGTAAAGCCTTTCGATAACCTACTCTCTGAACATACCTACAAGTCGTTCACGTTGTCACCGACGCTTGTGCTTTCTTATCTCCTTCATCGGAATGATGACAAGAAGTCTCTCGGACTCTGGCATTGCCTCCTTTCAGAAATAGCTCTACAGGGCGACTTGGCGCTAGAGTCGATCCCCCCGCTGCTTGCAGCCTCACGACAAGGCCATCTCCCAACCCATCTGAAGCCGAAATTCGACGAACTCGATGGTTTATCTGGGGCTCTTCTTGTCAAGGCCTTGACCGGACCTTCAGGATCGAATGAATTAGCCATCGTACGCCAGCTATTCCTGTCATCGGGTATGTATTTCTGTTCGCCACTCAAACTGTCTTCTAATCCATCATCCCACATCAAAGACCATTTCCTATCCGAGCCGGGTTTCCTTGCCCTTCTTCGCAGCGTCGTGGAAGCATTCACTTGGCAGGTCGACTCCGTACTTCGAGGCGACAAAAAGCACGATGCCTTGTCTTTGCTAAATTTCGCCCCTTCGTTAGACTTGATTTCCGCTGTCTTTGCGCAACCTCCCAAAATGCTGCCCTCGCTGGACGAATTTGATGCCTTGCTTCCAAGCATCTTCTTTTTTGCTTATCTTCTGCCATTGTGCCACGGCGTTGATGACGGTGCCCATCCTACCTTTGGCGTGGCCCGGGATCTTTGGACCCAGTGGATCAATTTAGCTTCGGTAACACAGAAGGAAAGGGCTGTTGGGGTCATCAAAGCACAGTTGAAGACATTCATCACAGACACTCAAGTTCGGCCACTGTTAGTCGACAGCTATCTCTATCTTGACAAAGTCAGACTGATACCACCTTCAGACCAGAAGATATCCTTCAGCTGTTGTCCCAAAACTTGCCTGGGGTCCGGGCCGAGATTGTCGCTGAGATATTCCCATCGGCCGCAGAATTAAACGAGATGCTTGCAGCTATACCTGCAGATGCAATCGATCCCAGCATGGGAGTGATCGAACCACTGATTCCCCCTGGGTTCTCAGAAAACGAACAGGTTTCTATTACGGGCGGGACAGACAAACGTGGCTTTTCCTCATATGCCCGCATCGTTGACGCCCTGCTGCGACTATCCACGCAAGATCGGATCCACGCGAAACAAAACCTCTGGGCACTGCGCCACTTCATCGTTTTGTCTGTCTACGCACGCGATTTCCAGAGCGTATCAGCTCCAGTACGTCCAAGTCCAGTCTTTGCTGCCACTAGTGCGTTAGCAGGGGTGGGTGAAGCTTTTGGAAGGGTGGATCAGATGACGGCATACCTCCTTCTTTCCAGTAACGACGAACAATGGAGGATTAAAACGCTGAACGCTTTTCTGAGCGGGATGAAGGAGGAGCTTGTGGGGTTGAGCGCCTTTTTGATGGACGTGATTTCTTATGCGAAAGAAGGTGATGGTGTGAGGGACACAAGGGTTTTGAGCGTTGTGCTCGATCGCATTCTTGGCGACATTGATGTGGAAGAGGCTGATATGTGGATACAACTAGCAAGGAAGTTAGAACGTCTTGGTGTGTTCGACCCACTCTCATTGGAGGCTCCGTAGCTGACACGAACTCGAATACCAGCACCACAGACTGCGATGACCATTGCAGCAGCTATTGCTGCCACTGGAACTGAACCCCAAAAACTTGACCGCTATCGCAACGAACTTGCAGCCTCGCTCCTTGGTATCCGAAGTGATATCAACGGGCAGGGGCTGCTGACACTGCGAAAACTAGCCGCAACCGCACCAGATCCTGACTCAGAAGTAGTATTTCTGCCACAGGTACGGGCAGTGAACGTTGTCAAAGTATTTCAGCAGTGGGTTGCGAGCGATGATGAAGATGTTGGAGAGGACGTAGAGAGTGCAATGATCCACGTCTACATTCACCTCACTCCAATACTCCAAAATCTGGCCGGCAATCATTGGGAGTTCATCTTTGATGTTTTGGAAAGCGTACTTGAGGTGGGTTGTTCTCAAAGAAAGTATATCTGGAAACCTCATTTCATCTTTACGGTCTAGAACTCACAAATCACGGATGACGAAGCGCTTGTGCCGCTCGCCAATGCTCTGCGGTTGATAATCGTGTTACAGGACCTGACAGTCACTAACAAGCTCCTCAAAGCGGACTGGGATGAACGTAGTAGCGTGCTATTGACGATGGTAAGGGATATCGCCCAAATTAGATCAGGTGTGCTTATCAGTCTCCCTCCAACTATTGCACACACCTAACATATTTTACAGACGCCGCAGCTGCATCCTTACCACGCTCAACTTGCCGCGAACTCACTTTGTCAATTGTGCACAAACTGCCACCTTCGCTGATAGATCACGATACATTAGCAAATGTTTGCCTTTTCACTCGTCACCCATGTCATTTCGTTCACGACGCCGTTTGTCAGATGTCACATCTCATTACAGACTCGTCCGTCGATGTCCAGAAGATGGCGTATCAGCTACTTCGGGTCGCTGCGAGAAAGCGGACAGAATATCTAGTCATCGAAGCGGCAGCGGCCGCCGTCACTGAGGCCGAACGCGAAGAAGAAACGCCTGTGGTACAGGAGATAAAAGCGGCTGGGTTGATTCCTGCAGAGCTTTTGGACATTGTGCAAGGGGAGGCAAGACATTTCGTCATAGACGATGACGATGACGACGACGAATTGGTGTGTTTGAGCATGCACAATCGTCCTTATGAGGCTAACCATCGTGTAGAGTTTGTTCGGCTGGATGTTGGGATGGATGCTCATCTTTGATTTATTCACGGATGCGGTATGTCTTGAAGACGTGATAGCACTACAGGAGATCTGACTTTTCCAACAGTCCTTCAAAATTAAATCGGGCTACGTCGAGCAGCTCAGGAATTCAAATCTCATCGTCACGCAATTCATTCCCACATTGTTAGGTCTCTTGCGACTGGATGAAGGATTGCCTAAAGTGTTCAAATGTGACTCCTGGTTTGTGGATGAGTTTTACATTGAACGTCAGTTTTGAAGGATTTGCTTTCTATTCTAACGCTCATTGGTTGCCATAGTTTATGAAACTGGAACACCATCCATTACCCTCCGCGTTCTCGCTGCACATCTCTTCTACCGAGCCCTCCTTTGCGTCCCCTCGCTTATTCATACCTGGGTTTTGGACTGCAAAGATAGACAACTTACATACTGCGTGACGACCTACACTTCAACATATTTCTCACCTGTGCTCATACGTGCCGAGCTCGCACACGTCCGTTCACCTGAAGCACAGGCCGAGCTGGCGGACGAAAACTTGAGCGTCAAGGTATCAATGGCATTGAACGAGGTCGTGGCTTCGTACCTTGTTGACGAACATCAGCTGGAGATAAAGCTCAAGATTCCAGTGGATTGGCCTTTGCATAGGATTGAAGTCAAGGATACGAAACCCAGAGGTGTGGATGAGGATCGGTGGAGAGCATGGGTGTTGGCTGTTCAGCAGACGATTTGGGCTCATGTGGGTGCTTGTGATATTACACGAGTAAAGACGCTGATGCTAGTTGTTGCAGAATGGGCGCATAACGGACGGGCTAGGTCTGTTCAAGAAGAATGTAACATTGCACTTTGAAGGGCAAGTAGAGTGTGCGATTTGTTATTCGTGAGTGCTACTCCGTTTTTTTCGTCGACTATGTGGTTGATGACGTTGTAATAGGATCATCAGCGTCATGGATGGCAGTTTGCCAAAGAAGCCTTGTAAGACGTGTAAAAATCGATTTCACGCGGGGTGTTTATACAAGGTGAGGTCCTGTGAGGATTGTATTATGAAGATCTCTAATGGAGAGTTATAGTGGTGCAATTCAAGTCATTCATCAAGCTGTCCACTGTGTCGATCGGATATCATCTAGAGAATACGGTTATATGCTGCTTGCATGCACAATCTTAGAAGCGCAGTTTAATATTCACATGTTGTAATATTTGCCAAGCTTAGTTACCCCAAAAAAATGTGAGTTCACGTGATCAGAATTGCTGCTCGACGGCAGCCTCAATGACCGGCCTATGTTCTTCCGACGTATTGGGGAGAGAACTGCGGCTGGGGCTGACTAGATGGCATTCGCGGAAGGGGCTGGGTCGCGTCAAAAATCATGGGGAGTCGAAAGGGAGTCTGTCCAAATCAGGGTATCCACGCCGTTCCCCAAAGAATCCCGTTTGGGTTTGAATAAATACTGCATCAACGTCATTCCTTACCTTCGGTTTTCTCCCCCCATGTCTTCTGTTCCCCCGCCTTCCATGCCGTCCTCCACCAGGCAACAGTCGAAGCTCGTCGACGAGTCCGTTCCTGCCGACCTCAATATTCCCGACAACTACGTCCAGCACACTCTCAAAACAATAAAACCCCTTCCACCCGTCACTTGGAGTAACTGGACCACAGAGCTCGACTATCTCAACGTCGCTATCCTCACCCTCACCCCCGTCGTTGGCCTTGTTGGTGCCTACTTTACAGAGCTCCGTTGGGAAACCTGTCTTTTCGCTATTTTCTACTACTACGTGACAGGCCTTGGCATCACCGCAGGCTATCATCGTCTGTGGGCTCATCGCGCATACAACGCATCATTGCCTCTGCAATATTTTTTGGCTATCGTTGGTGCAGGTGCCGTTGAGGGTTCTATCAAGTGGTGGTCACGAGGTCATCGAGCTCACCACCGTTACACCGACACCGACCTTGACCCTTACAATGCTCATCGTGGCTTTTTTTACTCCCATGTCGGTTGGATGATGATTAAGCCCAGAAGGAAGCCAGGCGTCGCAGACGTTAGCGACCTTGCAAAGAATCCCGTCATTCGCTGGCAACACAAGCATTATATTGCGCTCATTTTCCTCATGGGCTTCATTCTTCCAACCGTTGTTCCGTGGTTATTGTGGGGAGATGCTCAAGGTGGATACATATATGCTGGTGTTCTCAGGTTGTGCTTTGTCCACCACGTACGTGTTTACCCGTCGATTTTTTTGGTTTTGCCTGGAGCTAAAAATGCTGTTCAGTCCACATTCTGCGTCAACTCGCTTGCGCATTGGCTTGGAGAGACTCCTTTCGATGACAAGCACACACCTCGCGACCATCTCATAACCGCATTGGCGACAATTGGGGAGGGCTATCACAATTTCCACCATCAGTTCCCTATGGATTACCGAAACGCCATCAAGTGGTACCAGTATGACCCCACCAAGTGGTTCATCTGGGCATGTCAGAAGCTTGGCTTGGCTTCCCACCTCAAGGTCCGTTCTTTTTCTCCCTTGCGTTACCGTCCCTGACGAAAAAAACCCATCGCTAGGTTTTCCCTGACAACGAAGTCCGAAAAGGTCAACTAACGATGGAGTTGAAGAAGCTTAGGGAGACGCAGGAGAAGCTGTCTTGGCCCAATGATAGCAATGACCTGCCTGTGATCAGTTGGGAAAGCTGTACGTCTTTCATCCTTCCCATTTTTCCTTTCCTAACCGTTCCAATCGGCTAGTCCAAGAGCAAGCTCTGAAGCGACCTCTCATTCTTATTTCCGGCTTTATTCACGACGTCGGAACATTTGTTGATGAACATCCCGGTGGCCCACATTTGTTGATCAAATTCATTGGCAAGGACGCTACAACAGCCTTCTTTGGCGGTGTTTACGATCACTCAAATGCTGCTCACAACGTACGCGTCCTCTCTGTGCATTTCTGATGGCACACGCTCATACTGTATCTTTCATAGCTCCTCGCAATGAAGCGCGTTGGTGTCCTCCATGGAGGTGCACCCCACGGCCTGGAAGATAAGATGATACCACCCAGTCAACGGCTGAAGATTGCGCGGTACACCGAGCTCACGTCTCCATACAACAGCAGCACCGCGTACTCGGACGGGGAAGGGATGCTCGGTTGATATAATTCGCCCGCTGGTCGCTGAATTTTTGGGTCTGAAGGAAGGAAAGGAATACCGCAGATAGAAGTGTTTATATAACGACGATTCGATGACGCCGACATTACATTTGGTCATACCTTTCTTTTACAAAGTAGCATATTACGAGTTTTCGCAACGCAGCTGTCGTGACTAGATCATAGCTTTGTGTGCCAATGCATTATAATTATATCGCATCTAACTGAACTTGCAGCAGCTATAACTATCAAGGGTATAAGAGGTCATCGATCAAATCCTCAAATCGTGAATAAATACAACCTCGAGAACTTGCTCGGAATAATCTTGGCAATACCAACTCTCCGATTCATTTTCACCTTGATTAGGATCACACCATGGTCACACTCACAGCCTTCAACGTCCAAAGAATTCTGGGCGTTTACCCCGAGCGCTTGCCCGATGTTCTTCCGAAGGTCTTCGAGCAGCTGCAGGATGAAAATCTAGAGGAAATGGCGTTGCATAACTACGTCGTACGTTTTTATCAAAGGCCTACGACCATTTTCTTTCACGCAAGTCAACGATTAAACAGGTAGCGATTAAAGACAGGTTCGCCAATGACTCGCGGCCAATGGGCCATATGGGTTTTGATTCGTTTGGGGAAGCTGCGTTCGAGAGTGGCATTGTACCCGCCATGTTAAAGGTCACTCAAGATCCACGGACAGATCCAGGCCATGGCCTGGCATCATACTCTGCATTGGATTCAATGATCCATCTAATGAGGACGGGTACTGCAGATGAGCGACGCGCCTTGCTGAAGGAGTTGCTCGCCAATGACGTTGTCGAAATATGTATCTCCGTATGTTCTCTCCCTACCATCCCGCCTCACCGGCCGTTCATCGGCTACTCTACCATGATAGAAAATCGACCACCCTCTCGCGATTCATCGACAGTTGGCCACCAACACAATCCGTAACCTCGCCTCTGAGAGTTTCCTGGGCGAGTACCTCACCAGCAAACAGACGTCTGACATCATGGTCAAAATGTGTGAATTCCTCCTGGAAGGCCCCGACTTTTATGTGAAGCAGATGAAGCATCGAGAAACGACCTGGCAGAGCTGCTTGTGTTTCGGAAATCATGACGTATGTTTTACGCATACCTAAGATCACTCTGCTCATGAACATCGCAGACCTCACCCACCAAAGCGGCCCAATATGCACCCCGTTACTACGCGATGGCCCAAGAAAACGCTGCCTGGGCGATCCACGGGCTCCTCTGCCGCGCTCCCCCGCCAAGCATGCAATACCGCTACGAAATTCTCACCCATAATCCCGAGCTGCTTCCCCTACTCTTCCAGTGTGCTTTAGTGGCACGACATCCATGGTATCCAGAATCTCAAGTCGATGGTATCATTTGTGAAGTGATCACCCTCCTTTTCTACGTCTCGCCACATTCAGTGCCAGGGGTAATCGACGCCGTCGATGGTGTAGTGAAGGAGATGGCAGATGAGGATCGAAAGGTTATGATTGATATCTTCAAGCTTCTCACTGCTCGTCCTCAGTGGCCAGAGATGCTCATCGCCATCTGGAACAACATTGATGATGAGAGATGGCAGGATCTCAAAACGTGGGTTTTACGCATTGCCTTTTGTGTTCGTGCTCATTTCTCTGCTTTATAGAATGTCCCGAGACAGGGTAAGGCTTCATCACGCTCAGATGCCTCTAGGCAACGAAGAATTCCTGGCAATCTTCGAATATCGGGGTAAATATCAAACATAAATCCAATCCTTTTCACTAATCCTATTTCACAGGAGGATGTCGTATATGTGTAGAACGTCTCATAGCCACTCTAACCCACATCGCGGACGAATGTCAAGTCTCAGACGCAGACCTCGTATTCCTCCTTCGCATCGGCAACGCAGCTTCTCAACCCGTCAAAACAATGCAACAAATCTTTTCCGACACTGACTCTTACGTCTGGGTCGAACGTTCCTTCCAGATCTTTCGATCCCCAATGTACACCGTCTACACGGAGGACAAAGTCGACCCACCTCTCCAAATAGTCGAAGAACCCATGATGGGGCCAACAGCTTTCGTACGCCTGCTTACCATGCTCGCCACCCGCGATCTTCTTGAGAAGATTCCGAAATGGAAGAAACTCCCAGCAGGAATATCAGGCACGACCACGTTAGCGCAGGTGAAGCAGATGACAGGGCCCGAACGGATCCGAACCCTCCTCCCCCTCGCTCTTCGTCGTGTAACGGGACACAGAGAGTTAGGACACAAGCGGATAAAACGCGACAACGAAATGGACTTTGCAGGGTTCGCCTATTCATGCGCAGCAGAGCTAGCAGCGGCTTTGGTTGCGTTTGATGAAGCGACAGACGGCAAGTACCGAGACCTGTTACATGGCGCAAGGAAGGAGCTAGTGCTTTGCCTTGGGAACGCGGCGGAGATGGCTATTGGGATCAAGCACTTCAAGAGGGCGCTTAGCTTTGCGACTGGAGCTGTGGAGGCGGCGAAGAACCTCCCTGCTCGTGATCAGGTTGAAGAGACAGTTATCGCTAAGAACCTCAGGAGGGTGGATCGAGCGCGGGCTGGTCTGGGGCAACTCGTGCCAACATCGCGATGAGATATCACACAAGACAACATTTCAGTATCGATCTCGGTCTATTTCCTGAACGTGTGGTCTTGCTCTACGGCTTCCACGATATCTTACGGCCCCGTACTATGCGCTATTACACTAATATTATCTTGCTAGAGCTTTGCTCAGGAACCTGCCTACCAACTGGATTGGCCAGATTAAGCACGACACTGCAAGGTAAATGGAGATCTCACATAATAAAGCTCATCGCACTATTGACAGGGATATACGTGATCCCAACTGTATCAAAACGTGTTCTCTCATCGTACACACATCGCGTAAAGTCGTAAATAGGGGGGGTAACTAACTGACCAATTAACAAACAATCCTTTTCCACAGCGGCATCCTCAAAACTACCCTCAAGCCTCCCTCTTCTTAGGTTTTATGAGACCAAACAACTTGCCCCGTTTTTCCTTTGCGAGGATCTGCTCATGAACCTCTCGCTCCATCTCCTCTTCCGTGACTTGCCCGCCAAGGGAGTACCAAACCACGCTGAGCATGCCTAGAGCTGCTGTCAAGACACATCTACGCAACAGACCCGCCGTCAGCGATCGCGTCCAAAGTAGAAAAAGAAAAAGAAACGTACCCAAACATAGCACCAATACCCCTCGGTCGCCATCCCAAAATTTGTGGGTAAGGACCCAAAGGAAGACCATGGAGGTCGGTTGCTGAGGCAATGCCAGCAGCGTTTCCTGACGTGGGGATATTCAGAGCTTTACAGTTATCCAGCAACTTTTGCGGGACGCCGTAATGCTGTTGAGCCTGCAGAGGCGCTTCGACAAACTGGACGGACAGTCCGACTTCGAGATGCCATTCGATGTGACCTTTGGCATTCCGTTAGTTTACATCCACCTGGTACGAAGGACGACGTACAATGCAAAAACCACACTCCAGGGTTATCAGCCACCACTCGCATCGTCGCTGATCCCATGGATGGGATTCCTACCACGTCCCTGCGGATGGGATTCGCCTGCCCTTCTACAATGGGCGGGTTCAGCGTAGGGTCAGAAGAAGTATAGTCGGTCGCGCGGCCAACGAGCATGGGTTTGTGTCCGTGCAAATGGCTTAAAGATCGTCAGGGACTGTATTGCGGTTCAAACTAGACATCACCTACAAAGGATGTTTTCCGGCGTCTCCATTCTTAATCACGATATCGATGACATCACCATACTCAACGACGAAGCTCGTAGGTCCGTAAGCCCCTGGAACCGTCGCGTTCTCGCCCAGTGTGAGCTCGGACAGGACAGCAGGGACGAGGGGATTGTTATGCGTGATTCCATTGAACATCCCTCTGTTGGTGCCGTCGTCCATGGTGTCGAAGGAGACTTCGAGCTCGATCGTCTTGGTTGCGGCGGGCTGAGCCTCGACGATGACGGGCACGAGGGCTGTATCGTTCACGTCATGGTACTCATCCACGAACCCGTTATCGGTCAATGTCGCGGAGGCGTTGTAAATGACGGAGGATGTGACGTCTGTCGGGAGGTCAGGAAGATTCTGAGAAACTGCAGAGAACACGTACTGGGATTTAAAGCCGGTGGGACGACGTCGAACATGTCTGTGTCCATGTTGGCGTGGATTGCCCAGTTGGAGGAAGTATCGTTGCGCGCTGTGACGAGGACCGAGTACCGCTGTGCAACAGTCAGGGCGATTAAGTCTATCGGATACTCTTCCACGTCAGTCTATAAACCCAAACTATCAGCTCGTGCAGCAGAAAGCAAGAAAGAAGACATACGCCGTCGACTTCTATGATACGCATGTCATGTCCGTCGATCCAGAAGTAGAACATGGCGAATGCGGCCGTGTTGACGATACGCAAGCGGTATGTCTTTCCTGGTTGGAAGGGCAGGGTGGCGTTTTCGTTGAACCCAACCGCATTTGTGACAGGGGCTGGATTTGAGCCAGCAATAGGCCCGAGGTAGGTGGAGTTTTGGGCAAAGTACATTAATCCAGATTCTGAGGTTTTTTTTTTTTTTTTCAGTAAAAAAGTCGATGCAAAAGACTAGAGACTTGATTACCAGGGACGGGCTCGGCACCTCCAGGATTCGCAATGTTGATGAACTTCTTCAGCAAGACAGCGTGTTCTTCGTGATACCAGTCCCCAAGAACAATAGTGAATTCTTCGTCGTATGCTGCGACTTCTTTTGGAGGGTGAAGAACCAGAGGTGCTCGCAGACCGTCGACGTATTGACCCTTTAGGCAAGCGTCGGGTTAAATGCGGCGGAAAAGTAAAGAGGAAGTTGCATACAGATGAGTGGCCGTGCACCCAGTAGGTGCCCCATTGGCCAGAGGAGTTGATGGGGACGATGTAATCGAAGGTACCACTAGGGGGTATACCACTAAGGCGGAGTTAGGAGGTGAGTGGGCACGATAGGGGAAAAGAAACACCATTCGCTAATGCCTTGGGCACCGTCCATCCAAGATGTAGTGTTGAAAAACATGCCATGGTGATGCAAGGTGGCAGAGTCCGAAAGAGAATTTGTAACGTGGACCAAGAGCGAGTCAGTCGTCTGCACATTGACTGGCGGTGGCCTGAACACTTGTTAGCAGCGAAATACATTATGGGCATTAAAATTTGCTCACGGCCAAGAGCCATTAACGCCGACGACGCGTCGTGGAAAGAGGCCGTCTGGGTTCGCGTTCTGGACGTAGGTAAGGTTCCACCATATCTCCTGAACGCCAGCGAGTGCGGGGCTGGCCAACGCAGCGAGGAGGATGAGTGAAATTGGCAACATGGGGAGAGCGGCGAAAAGGGCTCAAGAACATTTATAGGGCAAGAGTGATAACTTATAAGGGTATGAGAAAGGTGCGTTCCTAATCTGATAAAACTTTAGGAGATAACCCTGCCGATGTGCCAAGGGAGGGGCCGAAGATCCGGTTTCCATGTGTGATGAATCTTATCAGATGGGAAGATCTTATCGGATAAAAAAAGTCATCTGATAAGGGTTTTTTGATGCACCTGAATTACGGAATGAATGCATACACCCATGGCTGGTCTCGACAGCTTTATATCCTGCCCCAATATTCTCCCCCTCTCCCTCCGAAACCTCCTCCCCTTCGCTCCCTATGGCCAAAAACCTCTTCTCCATCCCCATTTTTTTCATCGTCTTCCGCGAGACTCTCGAGGCCGCCATCATCATCTCCGTCCTCCTTGGTCTCGCTGAACAAATTGTACACGAAGATGGCTCAAACTTCAGGGAAACAAGCACCCTCGTGAGCGAGGCGGAGAGCAAAGGGGAGTCCGACCAGAACGAGAACCTCGACGACGCCGTCCACCGTCGCCGCCTTATCCGCAAAATGCGCATACAGGTAACGTTCTTCCTTATCTACACTTCTTTCACCTTTATTTAAAAGCGTGTTTAGATTTTTGCTGGGGCAGCCCTGGGTTTGTTCGTGGCTCTCGCCATTGGCGCCGCGTATGTCTTTAACCCTCCTGTCAAAGTGTCAATCTAACTTTTCCTCAATTCAGGTTCATCGCTGTCTGGTTTACCAAAGCATCTAACCTGTGGGATAAGGCCGAAATACTGTGGGAAGGTACGTTCACGCGCATATATGGAGGTCACCTTTTTTCAAAGTATCACCCTAGGTATTTTCGAGCTCATTGCTTCTCTCATGATTTTCGTCATGGGTGTCAGCATGCTCAAGATGGACCGAGGTATGCGATATCTTCTCCGTTCACGTCTGCCGTTACTAACTCCGTGAAATAGCCAAGGCGAAATGGCGCATCAAGCTCACGCGCGCATTTGACGGTAAAAGTACGTTCTCCTTTCCTTTCTTGTCCATGTCCTGACACCAATTCCCCGCTGCAGAAGTAGATGGCGAATCTAAAGCCGGAAAATGGGTCCTCTTCATCCTGCCACTAATCACAGTCCTCCGAGAAGGTCACTCACCCTCTTTCATCTTCCTTACTTCCTCTCACACTTCAACGCACAGGCATGGAAGCTGTCGTTTTTGTAGGAGGCGTCTCCCTCGGCCAACCCGCAACAGCCATCCCCATAGCCGCCATCGTCGGAATAATCTGCGGTCTCATCATCGGTTTTGCAATCTACTCATTCGCCTCTCGGTCAAGTACATTTTCCCTTGGCCCTACCGTCTTTCCGCGCTTACTCTATATACAGCATTAACCGTCTTCCTCGTCGTAATGACCAACCTTCTCCTCCTCATCGGCGCTGGCCTCTTCTCCAAAGCGGTCGCTCAATTCGAAATGAACTCCTACGCCAAGCTCCTCGGTGCCAAAGGGGACGATGCATTAGGCAACGGGCCAGGGTCGTACAGAGTTCAAGGCAACGTCTGGCACCTCGATTGCTGTTCCCCCAATAACAAATTGGGCGGGCAGGGATGGTCGATCTTCGGCGCGATCTTTGGGTGGTCGAATAACGGCTCGCGTAAGCCATCCTCTGTACTTCTATGCGCAGAAATTAACGGAAATTTTAATAGTGGGAACGATACTCGCATATGTATTTTACTGGATAGCAGTCATCGCCACGCTGGTATACTTGAAATTCAAAGAAGTTCGTCTCGGTCCTCCCTCCCTTTTTAATAACTGACCCACCCTCTCACCACGCCAGGGACGAACGAAACTCTTCGGGAAAGAATCAGCAGTAGCCATCCGCCGTCAAAACTTGCGCAGGGAAAAATCAGCGTCACAAGAGGCTGAAACATCGTTGAACGAGAAGGCGCCTGCGGATACGGTTGAGGTTCTGCCGAGGGCTTGATTCGTTTTTAGTTTTGCCCCATCTACTCACACACATTATACACCCCGAATAACGACGATATGTTATGTACTTATTTCCTTGCGATATGACTTGGTTGGATAAATGGAATATGCTTTGAACTACACTCTAATTATTTACAGGGAATGGAAATTGTATAGAAATTGTCTCTGTAACCGACTCACGCGGACTCACCTTCGACCTCCTTGGACAGGCCTTGGACTCGCCGATGTAAGCCGATGTATTACAGTAACGCCAAGGCCCAAGTGGCTCGCAAATTTGCCGCGTCTGGTAAACGGAAGAATTATATTACTTGGCGACGACGTCCTCGGCGTTATCTGATAAGATGTACGTACGGAGGAAAATCAAATTCTTTGAAAGTTGATGAATCATGTGTTTCGACTAGGCGCATGCCGCCGCGTGCAGGAACACATACTCGTACCCCAAGTGAGGGTCTGGTACCCTCGCTTGGTTGCGAGTGCATCGGAAATTTGTAGGGTCTAGAATTTATTCCGGAATTTTCCTATCAATTGTTGATCAATTGTCGTGGCAGTAAAATCATAAATGTTGCGGATTGGTTGCGGACGATGGAAAAAAGTAGGTAAAGTTCTTGCAACGCATGGTAAAGTGGTAGAATGTAAATACGCCCTTCAGGCGCAAACTTTACACCTCTCTTGACTCGTGAAAAATCGCAGAGTGTACTCTTTTGTTCTGGGCGTCTTCCTGTGATGTCATTACAACGTCGCACCGGGCTACTCAGAGTAAATTAGTGCCGCCAAAACCAGCTAGCCTCAACACCGTAACAACACACGAGGTCCTAACCATATACGTTCTCTCATATGCTTTCCAACCGTGGCAAGTCGTCTATTCGAAAACGGAGTAAGTGAGAGATGGGTGGCGTTATCTGATAAGAAAACGAACCACGATCGCGTATCTCGATTGATGGGCATTTGTATAGCTCATGAACTGCGAAACGGAGCACATTGAGTCCTGTGACGACGGCATGCGAAAAAGCGACATCATCTCCGGTAAACAGAAATAACTTGGCTGTATCCGACCAGCTCAATCCAGGCATGGAGAAAGAAGAAAATCGAATTTGGGGTGTTATCTGATAATGAAAAAATCGTAACAAACCAGACACCCATGCCATTTTGTGACGGCCTCCGAGAAAGGTACGGAAGAGGTGGTGAAAAAAAATATACCAAGAGCAATTTTTTGGTATGCGGTGACTGCTGGTGACTGAGCGGTGCGCGATGCAAACGGGGAAACATCCGGCCAGGTTCAACCTTGTCTTAAATTGCACAGTGCCGAGACTTTATTATTTATCAGATAAGATGCAAAAGAACGATGACGTCGATGCAAACCTTGAGTTTGGTCAGTGAGCAGATATCCCGATATGGTGCATCCTTACATGTGAATCGTCGCGGGACTCGAATAAAGCTATCTGATAAAAAATTCAGGTGATAAGGTTTTGGAATAAGTATGTCAGTAAGAAATGGGAACGCCGCGAGGGACTACTCTGCGCGCATGACTTGGAGATCCGATTCGTCCCAACTCGTTGGAGGGCTAGCACCACGAGCATTTCGCTTTGAGTGCCGTCAAGGTGTCATGGTCATGGAGTGTATACTGTACCGAACTGTATGGTGGCAACGGCAGACGGAGCGTTACGCGCCCCGAAGGATTTTTTTCGGCAACCGACCGGGCGTTACGCGTTACTTTGGTCCGATAGGCAACCCCCCGGAGATTTAGGAAGACGATGTTACAGAAGTAGATGGTCGGCTGGGCATACAATGATCCTGGCAATGCCGGGGTATTCTACCAGATTTTACCTATATTTTAGTATCTGTAGCCCCGCAGGGACAGAAAATTTTGTAAAAATGGACTTTTTTTTTGGTCATTTTCATAGCAACACGGCCAGCGTTACGCGTTACTTTACCTGAAATAAGCAACAAAATCGGGCCAGGGTTATGCGTTACGTTGCCACCATACAGTTCGGTACAGTACTCACGCGTCACGGATTTGATTGCTGTCGCGTTCCTAGGGCGGTAAGGCGGCGGGTAAGTTCTTTCTCAAGAAATCGATCAGCCCTGAGGGCTGAGTGCGGAGCTCACAGACAATACACGATAAGGAGCAAGCGGTCATGGGAGAAGAACTTTTTGAACTTTGACTGTAAGCGAACTGAAGATTAACTCGGAAAGAATAATCAAGTGAATTCACGGCAAGTTCACAAAAAAAAACATTGTGAAGAACGCCGGGTAAGCAATTGGATGTGAAGTGCAGGATTAGTTTTGACGCACTTTCGGACCGCCTCAAGACCGCCTCGGATTTTATGCCAGTCCTTCTAAGCTTGTGTCTTTCTCAACGATAAGCGCGGTCGTTCCGCGAAAATAAAATGGCAAGCTCGAAGCTCCTCGAAAGCAAATTACTCTTTGTACAGTTGACTATATCCTTCTTAATTCATATCAAGGGCCTCTTCAGAATTTCCCATCCCACATAATCACACATTCTTGTGGAGCGTCCTGGAAAGGTTGTACGCAGCCGAAATCAAGGTGACATGACTTCAATGTTAAAAAGGCATGAGTTGTGATTGGAATCAAAGAGATTAATGACCTACGTGAATCCCTGAACTGCATTTCCCAACCTGAAATTTTATAGACGGAAAGTCAGCCTAGGCTGCGAGCCAAAATTAATTTATGGACGCACCCTACTCCAGCATCAGAAATTTCTTCTGTGCAAAGTCCGACGTGGTTCAGGTAAAGTAAGAAGTCCTTCGACAAAGACGTGAGCGACGTTCCAATTTATGTTGCGAGCCTTACCTCAAACATCGACACCGCCTTTGGGATCAAGGTTCGGTCGCTTTGACCTGCACGCGTCAATGCCTCGATGCACCTATTGAAAAAGAGAGTTCCAAAGAGTTTACCACACGGTCCAGCTTCAAGTCGTGAAGAAGTGACGCACCACAGCGTACACAAGCAAAATGTGCCCTCCTCACCTCCGACGCCATCCGCCGTCTTCTTGGTATCATACCGATAAACGAGGTTCTGAACGATTTTTAGGTTAATACTATGGTTGTGAAGAAAATAATAATCCCCCACATTCGACGTCAAGCCCCCTTTCGCGGGTGTTTTTAAAATCTGCTTCAAGGTGCTCACAAACCTTGGATCGGACTAGTACAATTGTTACTTCGGAGTTATTGCGGAAAAATGTAGATGAGACGCACAGCTTGCATGAAGAAAACCAGCGGCATAATTAGCACTGCTGCGTCGACCACGTCCGTTTCCTCGTAGCTTTGTCCAAAGAATTTGCCCTCTTTGTTCCAGGCCCTGTGCATGATTTCTTCGTAGAGTTCATCGCGCGCCGCAAGCCATTTGTATCTATTGGGGCAGGGAAAAGATCTTTTGTCGGCTAGACGGAGACCTAGTTTATACAGTCAATAATTGTTGAATGTAAATAATGTATTTTTTGTGACCTACCACGATCCATAGCGACCCTGCGATGGTAAGTATGAGAGGGTGTTAAAAAATTTCGGTCGTTCAACGTACCAAAGCATAACCTTATGGAGGGGTAGGCATGAGAATAAAATATAGAGTAGAGATGTGGCGCACCTTGGAGTACTAATCGATTTACGGGCGTGAGTATAATCATAAGTAGTCAGGGGATTCAACACACAGTAAAATGACGTTGCGTGTCTCGGACTTCCCTACGCAACATCCATTTTTTTTTCAGAAAAGACATTTCTTTTCCGCCAGATGACTTACCAGATGGATCTACAGAGTACCAATGTTGACAGAAGCTCGATGATAAAAATAGAGATGACGTACAGATCGGTATCCTTGTAGTGTTCAACCACATCTGAATTTTGTTAGAAGCAGATCCAAAAAGGATTGGGTGTCCTTACAGTCGACACTTAATATCCAGGGTTTCGGTTAAAATTGGTATCGTCACGAAAAGATTCACTTACACTTCTCTGACCAGAACCCTATCCAGTCGTTGGAAACGCCAGGACTACTAGAAATACAGCAAGCTCACCAGTCGTCATAGCTCTGCATTTACATGTCAGGCAAAGACTGTCAACGGTCAAGGAAAATACGTACCAAGGGTCTTCCAAACTAGAGAATATTTCACGTCAACCATCCATCAAACTAATCAAAATGATCAAAACGAACCTTTTGTCCTAGGTAAATACAATCCATTCTATAGCTCGACAGTCAGAAACTCAAGGCGTACTCAGCAGCTTCGCGTAACTTACAACTCTCCGTAAATATCCTTCAGCAGCACCTCGGTCTAAGTCAAGCGAGGACATCGTTTTTCAGAAAACGTACCAGTTGGACATGGTCTATCGCGCCGTTCCCAATTCGTACCGGTCGCGATCCTTTGTGTCCATCTAAATGGTCGAGCTCAATTTCTTCAAATTCTTTGCCGCCTGAAAAAAAGAGTGCGTTTCATATAGAGGAAAAAGAGAAAGGAAAGGAAAGGGGGAAGATACGGACCATGGATAGTGTACATAATTTGTAAACTCCCATCTGCATTCTTGTTCCTAATCCGTTCAAAGATGAACCCGAGGTAGGCTTTATCACACGAGGTTGAAAATAGATTGAAAATGATCAGGATAGATTGAACTCACCATTGGCCTCTTCAGTGAACCCAAGGCGGATTAATGCGTACAACGTAAAAGAAGAGTCACGAATCCAAGAAGCACTAAGTGAAGACCCGTAAGAAAAAAAATAGAAAGAAGAGAGAAGGCAAGGCAAAACATACCGATAGTCCCTGTAAATTAAACGTTGCTTAGAGACGCTAGACGAGATAAATGCTTTTTTTTACCAGTTTCGAACACCCCCGATATATTCGGGAAGACTGAATGTTGGACTAGCAACAACGGCACCTGACAAGGGGTGCGTGAGATCGTCGATAGACCGATTTCCCAGCACACATCACATACCAGTTGGCTCATAGATCAACAACTTTAACGCCAAGGCACTGCGATGAACAGACTCCTTCCAAGAGCCCGTGTAAGTGGATTTGCTGATCCAATCATACCAGTAATGATTGGTGTTCTAAAATAATTGTTGAATGATGCTTGACACGACAGGAGGAAAGTTTCACTACTTACATGAAGCAGGGAATGAATAAGTTCCTTGGTCAAGAACGGGTCATCGAGCGCTCGGCTCCTAGGGGTGTCGACCATACTTGCGTCCCTTTCCGATACGAGCTCTGCCGCCCCTTTACGCGTCTCAGGCGAATGTTCAGCCTGAGAACGGGCCTTGGCATCCAATTCAACGGTGGTCAAAGCCTCATTCTGGCCAGACAGTGGTGCACGAATAACTTCCGTCGGCGGTGTCCTCAAAACGAACGTGACTATTTGGCCCTCAGAGAGCGTGAAAGCCGACTGGACGGCAAGCCCCTTGTGGCCTTTCTCTGAGAGGTCGATGAGCTCAATGTCAGGCTCTGGATCGATCTGAGTAATGTCCTCCGTGCTCTCAACCACGTAGCGCAGGTCTAGAGAGAAGCTGTCTGAATCAAAGACGACTTTGTGCCGTTTCGGGCCAAAGGGTATGCTGGTGTCTTCGACTAGGGTTGTTACGTGGGAGGAGCGGGCATAGTTGAATGCTGGAGCGCATTGCATGAGAAGCGGGACTTTTCCGCGAACACATTCGACGCGTCGAACTAGCCAGGGAAGGAGGGGCTTGTGTGTGTCGAGAATGCTATTGGGCTGCCGAGGGCGTGGAAGGAAGTCTAGCAAAATTATTTAGTTGATAGTACCAGAGGATTGAGCTGTAAAACGTACCTGTGATACTGATGACACCCTCATCGTTCATGAACTTGGTTTGGAGGACCTATTATATTGAATAGTTAGCTATTGCTCAAAGGCTGTTATCCCAGGTACATCGCTTAGCACCTCGACTTCGATCTCCTTGGGACAAGTGGAGAGTTACGAACATTGGAGCTTGGAAGGTAATTCTGCTTCGACGTGAAAGGGATCGTCGGAGTGATGGAGAAATGTCCACCCTTGTCCTTGTCCAAGATCCGAGCGAAGACGGAGGGCGAATCGAAGTTTGGAACGCAGTAGCTCTCAACTAACAGAACTTGCTCAGTCCTTCCTATATTATAGCAAGAAATATAGCTCACTTGATCCGTCCAAGCTAACCAATGCAGCCGTCCTGAGATTACCGATCCTGGGGAAATACCGGTATGAAATTCAATAGAGGAAAGATGCTACGTCATACTGACAGTCCATGATCAGCAATGGGAATATAATCGCGGTCATCGCCTGGAGAAATTATATTCATTGTGCGTTTGTACGCTCGTTTAGATAGGGTGAAGGGGGGGTCAGATGTGCGGCGAGTCAAGACTACGCGCCTGATTCCAGGTATTTGAGGCAGCATGGCATCAATGATTAATTCCGCCTTCTTGACAGAAGGGTATGACAAACCGTAGAAGAGGTTATCCGGCAAATCCCAGAAACGACGGGCATCCCGGGTGTATGTTCAACAACGTACGTCCGTTCAATCTCGGCTGAAAGTTCAGAATTATACGTTGCGTGGATATGTTGTATTTTACAAAAAGAGTTGCATTTACAGCAATGCCAACAGCAGAAAATATACGAATCCTTCCCCACTACAAGTGGCGCGGCTAGCGCTGGTGATACAGAGGTTATCACTACCTCATGAACGAAGTTGAACAACCATGATTGTACATCTACAAATACAAAATTCCTGCGTTCTAAATATCCACAAGTCTTTCAAAGCGGCGAACGAATATCATGGCTCACCATCATCACGTTTGGCTTTGACCAACGTTAACCTGCCACAAAGGATGCCATCTCGCATACCTATTGCCCATGCGGGTTATAGCCTTCGTCTCCGCTTCTCCAAGGGGAAGCACTTCAAGCGACGCGAAAAACTCGCCGGGGTCGAATCGTTCCATGTTCACATGAGTCTGGCCATGGAACAATTTGATGTCTTGGGGGCTCCCAAAGACCGTCACATCGTTAATGAAAGAATCGGGGACGCAAAGTCCGGGTATCGGCTGGCCCATAGCCTCCCGTTTGCCTAGAATACCACGCAGCATCGGAGGAGTCAAGAATGGATACCCGACGGTAAGGTTCTTAAGATTCGGTAGACGGGGAAATGAAGTTGAATTGTTGGTATCTTCGACACCTAAAATAGGCGCGAGTGTGACGTCGGTATTGGAAAGATTGACTAGGGAGAGATTCTCGACGTATTCGAACGGATTAGAGACACTCGGCACACGAACGACACGATCCCGCAAGGGGTTAACTTCCGTCGACATCAATTCTTGTGAAACGAAGACAAGGTCCCGAAGGTGAAGGAATTCCTGGTGGGTTTCGGAACCTAGGCGTCTGAATAGCTCTACGACTGCCATGCCAGTTTCAAATTCAAAGATAAAAGATTTCACTTTAGGCATTATGATCGTGGTGAGGAAGTCGCGTAAAGCGTCTATGTCTGGAATATCTGTTCTGTTGAACGAGCCATACTTGAAGCACAGGAGATTTGGGAGGGTGACTCTTCGGCGGGGGCCTTCGGGCAGCCAGTTGTCGACTGAGAGGGTGGTAAGATGTATGAATGAGGGTAAGAGTGAGTAAATGTGTTGCGTCGACGTAAATTGGGAATGCCTGGTAGACGGTGGCAATGTCAAGGCGAGGGTACGAATGGATGAGAGATACGTCGACCCCTCCTCAGGTAAAATAGCGTTCAGCCTTAGAGAAGAGAGTTTAGGGGCGCCTCCGGCTAGCATGTTGAATCCCTCTACCCTGTGAATGTCAAAATACTCCGCCGCGCTCGGGCAATCAACACTGAGATGAACGAGAGAGGGAAGACAAGCTTCAGATAGCAATTGGAGAGTTTCTTTGAGCTGCAATGGGCAGCGGTAAATGAAAGAAAGGGATTCAACTCGGTGCAGGTGCGGGGCAATCAGGACCGACCAAATGCACCGCAACTCATCTGCGGACGTTTCAATGCGTGAAAGCAAATTGAGTTCGAGCAACGCCTCCGCAGAGCGGCTCAAGTACGCGTGTATCCTCTCGGGCTCGTCGAGAAAGACAGAGGCAGATTTCCAGAGATTCGCCGTGCCAAGGGCAATCGCGCGCCATTCTCTGGAAACATGAGAGACAAGTATCTCAAAGCGTACCTTCTCAGACTTCCACTTTGGGTCATACAACTGAAGGTGCTGACCCGTGAGGAAAATCTCAGAGACAATCTCCGTCGGTAGCAAATGTACAAGTGCTGAACGATTCTTGTATTCTGCAGCACGGCTTTGTGCACTGTACAACGCCCGCTGCAGCGACAAAGGGGCTTGATCTAGTAGCACACGACCATCCACCAACTGTCGAAAAACGGCCATCTCCTGCTGTCTTAACACGTCCTCCTGTGAGCGCAGAACTTCCTGCTGTTTCCGGTATACCTCCTCCTGACGCCTGGCTACCTCCTGCTGTTGTCGGAAGTATTCTTGCTGGCGCTTCATTTCTTCCTGTTGTTGTCGTAAGCCATCCTGGTCTCGACGTAGATCCTCCCACTGTTTCTGTAGGACTGCGATCTGGGAACGAGCCAGGGCCTCATCTGTTCGATAGTTGGCGACGAGGGTGACAATTTCGTGAATGCTGGATTCTGCGGAGCTGAGAGGGCCTTCCATCGACATGGCTTGCGCGAAAGCCAAAGCTCAGCGCGCGGAGAAAGGAGGGTAGAGCCAGGTAGAATGAGAAAGAGGGGTGTCCTGGGGTGTCTTTATATAACGGGCCGCGGTAGCGAAAATGACTCCGCATAAGTGAGGTGCGACTTAGAACTCAGCTCAAATCTCCGACATATCAGATTAGATTCTACAAAAAATCAAGGAGCATTCCAATGATCGCTAGGCCGCGCACTCTCCTGGAGTGACTCTATAGCCTTCCTCGTATTCGTCAATAACTTACCCTCCTCCTCCTCTATAACGCCGTCTATCTCCACTCTTTCACCGTATCCAATCTCCATACCCTTAGCAGCCCTCCTCACACCATCATCGCGTCTCCCAACGTCGCCTTCCTCCCTCTCCGCATCCCACCATACACCAGCACGTTCTCGCGCGTCTGGACTGCGCATAAGGGCTGCACGGGTATATTTGAGAAGGTGCAGTGCGGGAATGAGATGGTCAAGCGTTTGTATTGTTCCTTTGATTGACGCGGAAGTGGAAGCAGGCGTCGGATTAGGACTTGGTACCATGTTGGAAATGATTGGGAATAGGTCAATGAGTGGTATCCTGGGAAGGTGTAGGAGGAAGAGCAGAACAAGAAAGAGGATGTTACGGAGTAGAAGTAAGGTGTCGTGCCACTGTATTTGTTCATTAGTTGCATTTCAAATCTGGGACGGAGGTGGCTTGCCATTGTTATCCGTAAAAAGAATTTATCATCTGTTGGGGAAATCGCAACAGGGACTGTGAGGAGCCAATACGCTTCAGTGAGTCCTGCAAGAATGAGGGTGCCTATTCCGATAGAACGAAGGTGGGCGAGCGGTGTCGTTGGGAGCGTGAAGAGCTTCGAGAATGTTAACCGAAGCTTTCTAAACGGAAAAAAAAATAACCTACGCCGATGACTGCGACCTCACGAACGTATGAAAGCAGGGGACGCGGAAGTGCATAAAGCGCGTAATCACCAAAAGATTGGCAGTAGTCACAGGTAGCAAAGACGTCGTGTCCAAATCTAATAGCGCCCTCTCAGTAAAAAATGGAGATAATGGCTAGACCGTAATAACCCACCGAACATAGAGTCTCCTAACTTCCAACAACTTCAGCTTCGTCAAAACACGATCCATTTCGGGTGGCAACACCGTATCGCTCGTCCGCTGCAAAAGAATAGCCCGAATAGAGTCGGAAGGGGTGTTCAGCGGTAACTTGAGCTCAGTGAAAATATTTTGAGGCGAGTTGACCAGTAATGTGTGCATCGAGTAGAGCGTGTGTACTAGAAGGGCTAATGAGAGCAGCGATTGCAGTAGCCGTGGTTTCTTAAATATTTGGAAGAGCCACGGGGTAGAAAAGCATAGTGAGATGGAAAGAAAGACGGGGGTGCTAACGAGCCCCATGACGGTCGGCGAAGAGAAGTGCTCTCTTCATCACTGGCAGGCATGATCTCATGAAGAGAAGCGCTTTGAGACTCCGATTTAGGAGTCCGCGCGACGCGCCTTGCTTCAAACAAGCATCTGTAATGGTGTCCCAAGTCCCGAGTTATCCTTTGGCGCTCTTGGATCTAATGGAAGATGATTATGTATCCACCGGAAAGCCCCCTCTAGGAATCGCCACGCGTTTCGGCGTAGAATCGTCGATGCTCAACGTACCCGCACATAGAACACTGCAAGCCCTGCTCACCCACTCGCCATCCCCAAAAACTATCGCTAAAGAGTTTCTACGTGAACTTGGACAGTGTGGAAATTCACTTATAAAAACGTTGGGTGTGCTGCACCGATTTGGTTTTCGGTCCTCGCTCATCTTGTTGGACGTGTCCTAACTTAGCCGAGGAAGTGTATAGCGAGGTTTCCAGTTTGGCCGTAGATGATTGAGCAATTTTAGTCCTTCAGAGACTCCAGGAGCACGCTGGCGACCTCCCGACCCTTACGCAGCTGGGGAGTCATTACTTTACCCATCTGGTAATCGCATGTATGTGGGTCCTCTGCCGGAAGGGTAGCCCTGCGTTGACATTCTACTTTTTCAAGTTCGAAACCCCGGTGGACCAAAGACCCCTCAAGATAGTATTCCCTTCACTCCGAAACACAGGCACATCGAGGAGATCGAGGAATTGTCAGAACAAGCTAAGAGGAGTCAATCGGCTTTGAAGGATTTGGCAAGTTCGACCAGTCGACTCTTCTAAGGTCCATTGAGGTCATGCTCCGCGATGGCGACAACTGTCCGGTCACCGGGTTTTCCTTCTTCCCCCCCTCTTACGTGCCATCCCGCTGCGCTCATCTCATGCCGTTTTCTACACGCTCAAAGTAGTTCTATGTTATTTCTTGGATGATGCATTTCCTTATTCATATATTTCTCCAGCCACAAACATTTTCAGCAATTGAAACGTTTACAGACTTTGCGCTGGACGCTGAAACAATACAGAACTATCTAAACGATCCGCGCAATGCCCTGAACCTCGAGATTGGTGCTCACGAAATAATGAATAAGCACCTGGCATGGGGAATTGAAGCGATACTTTCTAATGATCAAGTAATTTTTTCGTTTTGCTTGCAATCTTGAATTCACATAGCACATAGTGGAAATACTATTATAGAATTGTTCGACCGGATCGGTTGTGCGCCACTATACGGCTGAAAGACGGTGATGAAATACACCTTGGGACAGGCATCGGTGGTCGCCAAATCGCACTCCCCGATCCGAGGATCTGCAACCTTCACCTAGCAGTCAGTCGAGTATCTTACGCCTGCGGAGCCTCTGAAATCTTTGATCAATTCATTAACGATGAAGACGATGAAGGATACGAACTCCCTGTCTATTTCGGTGCTCCATTTGTACCTGATGATGTATTGATGCGCAAGCTCGAGACATCATTAATTTGTTAATATAGGCTCCTTCCACGATCATGCTAGACAGTCGACGTGTCCACTGTTGGCCAGCTACATCTTCCAGACGTTGGATCATCCAAATATTCACTTCGATGACGGCTGCAGTCACATTTTGTGTCGTTGTGCAAAATCAGTTTCACGTCCGTCTTTCATTCCCATAACGTCAGTTTGGCACTCTCCAGATCGAATTTGGTTCAAGGACGCCGACTTTCACTATTCGTCAACATGCATTTTGCCATCGTGGGTCCCCCATGGTGAGTACATCATCCTGCAACACCCTTTCCTTTCTATATTCTCCCCTTCATGATGGACTTCAGTTGACTCATTCTAAACGAGGGCAATCAACCTCTTGTAGACACATCTTGAGCCACTGATCTCTTTGTCTTTATCAAACCAGAACCATATTACAAATCGCTAACCCTTCTTTTATTAGGCCCCTTTGTTTTTCGGAGTGAACGGTATCACGCTGGTGTTGGGTGAGGTTACCCACACCACGATGAAGACGAACTCATCCGTTCTTAAAAAGTGGCTTGCGCTGGACCTTCGAAGGTCCCTGTGGGGGTTGTGTGCACGTGCTGATTCGAAAACTCATGGGAAGCCTTGAATGATAATCCCTGCTTGTCTACCTCCCGACGCTGTCTATCCTGATCGACACCATTCCCCATTTGTTAGCTGCGGGCTCATGTGTGGCCATCCGAAATCCTCTCATGATACATGACCTTTACTCAAAGTTGAACATTGCCCGCCCTCCTGTCATGCAACGCCCTCCCACTTGTCGCTAGAGCTGGCCAAAGCTTTGGATAATTGCCCTCGCTGCGCTAGCTGCTTTGGTTCCACCAGGTGACTCGCAGAATGTGGTTTACCGTCTGTTTTCCTCAGCTGTTTCCTCTGAGTTGAGCTTGAATGACGGAAGGGCCTGGTCGTCGACGTTTATGGCAACTTGGGAAATTCGCTCCTCGCCTCCTCACTCACAGAGCCCGTCTTGCGTACGTTCACAGTTGGATTGATGAGCTCAGTGAAGTACCAAGCCCGCTATCTGTCGTCTCGCTCGCCAATCGCTCGCCGCGGCGGTGTGAAGGACTTCTGGGGTCTCGAGGAAACACGTGGTATCCGAGTCCTTAAGACCTTCCTCGAGAATGTCATCCGGAACCCCGCTGCGGCGGTATGCAGCCTCCTTTCGGCGCAATGGGGTCAAACATAGGAGATGGGGTAAACTAGTCAAGGTAGGAGTCATTGGCAGTGCGCAGTCGAAAATGATCGTTACCAATGCTATATAAACCTAACTCCCTCCACTTCCCTTAGTCTGAACTGGAACAGCAAACACAATGTCGATGCCAGCTGTTTTGGAGGGCGGTTGGATGGTGAGTGATATGTCACTGCTTACGTTGTTACCGTTGAACGTTAAACCCCTGCAAGTTAGACGACCCTAGTGATTGGGCCCGTTGGTTCGGTACCTTTAGATCCCGATGACCCTTCCACCAAGCGCCCTAAAGCCAACGACGACGACAGCATTGGCATCCCTCCCGCTGGTTGGATACCTGACTCCCTTGATAACCGCGACTACCTCTATGTCCCCCTTGCAAAAAACTTTTTGAAACCCCTGGTTGATCTACGCACCAGCCCATATTTTGGCCCCGTTTTCGACCAAGGCACGGTCGTCGGAAGCTGCACTGCCAATGCAATTGCTTCTGCTTTTGCCACGGTGCTCAAGAACACAAACAAGACGTTTATGACTCCTTCGTCCCCTCCCGACTCTTTATATGGTACAACGAACGGGAGACGCTATAAAGGGACCGGGTCAGGATAAACAGCGGAGCTCGCTTGCGCAATGGGTTAAAGAGCATTGCGGTCACCGGTGTGTGCTCTGAGGAGGACTGGCCATATGAGTCATGTGGCGTTTACGACGAGAGCACCGGCAAATTCGTCGATGGTGCGCGGGCCGCTACGAAGCCCCCTGCCTCGACCTACAGGAACGCTCTCAAACACGAGGCTATCCAGTATTTGAGGGTTGAGCATGATCTCAAGCTTTTGCGCGCCTGTCTCAATGAGGGGTACCCGTTTGTGTTTGGCCTCAAGCTTCACGCGTCTATGGAGGCGATTCCTGGGTCTGAGGATGAGTTTTTGCCGATCGGTCTTGCGGTCGTGGCGGTCGGGTACGATGACTCCAAGGGCCACTTTATAGTCCAACGTTCATGGGGTGCTAGGTGGCGCGATGATGTCAGGATCCCTTATGACTACCTTCTCCAGGAGCACGAGTGCAACGACTTTTGGACTATCCGTATCTTGACTTAATCTTGCAAGTCGTTAGCGGTAACTCCTCTTCAGTACCCTTCTTCAGATACTGGCGTGCATTCTAATGTGCATCACACAGAGTGGTGGAATTGCATGAGGCCATCGCCCCAACGTCCTCTAGGTATCCCTATGCCCTACATTCCGGTCTCACCATTGTTATACTTCTCTCTCCGACTTTGTTCTCCTACTTTACCCATATCCTGCAGTCACTTTCATTATCGATTACTTGGTGTAAATGTCGTCCCCCTTCTGCCGGTTATATCGATGGTTACAAATAACTCATAGCATTACCTCGGAAATTGCAAAATTGATCGCGCACCCAAACTAAACTCTGACCTTCCCCTCCAAAGATGTGGCGGACTTTTCCAAGTCTTTCTCAGGTCTGCGGGGATTTCGGTTTGGTCTGGTTTCCTCACAACACTCGGACAAACAGGTGACGAGGGCGCGCTGAAGAGCAATGACGACGACGTTATTGTCTGGAGTCATGTCTCGTCTTTCATACACTCTCGGGCGTAAAGGCCAGCTCAACTATCCAGGAATTACATTTGCCTCCAAGAAATGTGCAGAAAGTCTTCTGTTGAAGGATGCTGAGACACACCACTGCTTTTTCCGGACGGCTGGGCTACATAACCACCTGAGCCATCAGTAAGTCGCGTCTTATCGTGGAGAACTTCGATTGTAACAGCGTATTTTCAGTATTCTCGCAGCTTACGACTTGGGAGCGCCCGCTGGGCTTTTGCAAAAGATATACCATGACGAAGCTCGCATCCAACGACCCATCATTTGGGAAGAAAAGGACAAGGCGATATTAGTCACTGAAGATAACTGGGTCCAGCACCTCGGTAATCCAAGGTCATTCCTACTCATCTGGATTTCTGCCAAAATTCTAATTTGGATTGCAGTGCCTATGCTTCATTTGTCAAATTCTTTGCCGAACAGATCGAGGCCTTTGGCTCAACCGCAACTCTGGAACGATTTGTGTTTGATAGTGAGAAATCTGGAGCCCATATGCCGGCCCGTCTCATGAGCGGCGCGTGAGTTTCTGCCAGTTTTTTCGTTGATGAGGGTGCAAATAAGCCGATTGTAGACTTCATCCCCTAATCATTGTTGGGGTAAGTAAAATGCCGTTTCTCTTTATTCTTTTGTCTGAACGTTGCAATTTAGTATGGCGCAGAATTTGCAAACGATACAATTATCGCCACAGGCTAGTGACCGTGTCCTATCTGAGGATTTACCCCTTCAACCATTGGTTCAGGTCTTGCCCAAACTGCGGTACATAATCCTGTGGATTCTAGGCTCTTCAAGTTTCAGGATATCAAGGGCGCGACTTCAACGCCCAAGGGCACTGGGAGACAACCCGTCAAAGGGCTTTCCCTCCTCGAAATTCTACGACAAGTCTACGATTCAGACATTCTCCGTCCCGTCCTACCATATGATCCTGACGCTTTGATCAACGCTCGTCTGAAGGCCGCTCTAAACGGTGGTAGAGCAGAAGAAATAGTGCGCATCTGCTCCCAATACCAACTTTCCGAAACGGCCGGAGAAGACGAATTGAAAGCCAAGGTGGAAGAAGTCATGTGGGTCGCTACTCTCCTCATGGCTGGTACGGGAAAGGAAGGCAGGAAACCAAGGCTCGATTTCTTCCTCATGCATATCGTCACATCGTCCCTATTCCTCCTTCCCATTCTCAACACTTTGAAGAAGACGGTCCATAGGGCCGACATTCTTCGGTCATATATCGCCGTTCTTGTCCTTTTGCTGCTCTCTCGAGGACGCCCCAGGATTAATCCAGAGTTACTGATGTCGTATACGGATACGCCTCGCCCTCCCATACGTGCGGCGCCTAGCAAGTCGGCTCTAGGGAATCCACAAGTCGATGAAGATTATACCCCTTGGCCAGCGATGGTAGAAGATGTTTTATATGCTCCGGACTCTCATGTTGTTAAAACGCTGCGAACTTTACTCTTTGCTGCGCAACATTACGGTGATACTCCTCCAGGAGGTGCTATTGGCGCTTTTAGGCCGGGAGAAGAAGAGGTGATCGAAACGCATAATGGTACCTCAAAAATGGATGGCACAATTTTCAGTAGGGCTGCAGGCTTGGTTATGGATTCTATGGGTTGGGTAACTCATGGACAGCCAGCAGGGGAGTGGGATAGGAGCGCTTTGGGGTGGGATGCTGCATGGGATTCAGGTGATTGAGGCCTCATTGAGAATTGTATTTGTAGACGTGTAGATATATATCAACCAGAGGATTGATTGTTGCGATTGCGTTCTAAGAATGGGGAGAATGTTCTACGACCATATACTTTGCTCAAGCCCATGCTCGGTCCTCACGATTCCCCGCTTACTACACCTTGGCAAGCGAGTGTTGACCAAATACTCAAAGTGGTTGCATACCCATCCTTCTTCGTCTTTCATGCCAGCTACATAGGGCACGGCCACACTGAAGGTTAGTTTCCGAAGCTTTGAGAAAGACGGAAGGTTGAAAATCCTATCAAGTTCCTTCCAGTTGAGTTTCAGATCTAGAGAGTGTGTTTCCGACACGAGGAAACGGAGTTTGACCGCCACTAGGGATTCTGAGGACACTTTCGAAAGGAAGGGAGCAACCCAGTTGAGGTCGTGTGGTGACCAATCGCCGAACGCACACTCTTCCAGGATGCCGACGACGACGGTAACTTCATGTAGTTTGGTAAATTCACCCAAATCAAATTCCCTGTGCGTCGTATCTGAAGAAGTCATCAGATATTTGAAGGAGGGGACAAGCAAACAGAACATACTTCGATGCCCAGATATCTCCATGAAACCCACACGAAAAGCCTGTACATCACGCGCCTTGATCTTTCGCAGGAAGATTCGGACGCTCGTAGCGTGGTCCGTGTCGATGAACTCAATGGAAACCTTGCGCAACGTGCGGGCGCAGGGTTGATTAGTGAGCCACTGAGTCAGCGTGTTAGGTGGAGTATCAATCGCGAGTGTTGTCAACCTGCGCGAAAGCGTGAATCTGGCAGAAGGGGGCGCAGCGGTGTTGGAGTCCCATTGGCATTTACCGGCGGTGAGAGTCGTCAGGAAAGGGAAGGAGCAGAGGAATTCCACACATTGAGGAAAAGAAGAAAAGGCGCCCGCTTTTATCGTCAAGTGCGTGACGGATTGAAAACCTCGAAAGAAGGAGGCTGTGGTGGTGCTGTCGAGTCTGCTCCATCGCACTCCATGCAGCGTTAGGCTCGTAACGTGAGTGAGGTGCTTTTCTATGGTAGATAAAGCAGATGGTATCCAGTCACGTTCTTCAACGATACTTAGGAAAGAGAGATCTCTGATAGATGGCGCTATCTTTGAACATGGGGATTGCAGCAGATCAAGAAAGTCGGATATGTTCTTGTGATGCAGTTTGATGGGGTATACAAGGTGGTATCTGGCAGAAAAGACCCATCGACGCGATACAAGAGAGCAGGCCTTCAGAGCTTCCTTATCGTTGTGTAGATAGTCGATGATGACCTCAACGATTTCGATGGGAACATAAAATTGGACTAAGGCAAGGATGACTAGTGCTTAACGATCTAAACAAGATGTAGAATGGCTTACATTGCATAGAGACAAATATAATACGCTCTGGCTTGATATTATTGGGAATTCTTTCCAGCTGGTTCTGGTAGAGGCCGACAGCAGCACTGAACATAGAGTGTGGTGGGAATGAGCGGCAACTAACCGGCAATTCAACTGAAATAGTACGCGTTGGTCACGTCGATTTTTGGCCAAGCCCATCATGCGGAATGACAACGACGCTCCTTGCTCCTCTCAGCCCCCTCAATCTACCTGGAATTCAATAACTCCCTGGTCGCCTCAATTGAACCTCAGTGTCAGAGAAATAACCTCTGTATCAGCCACCTTCATCCTTTCGTCGGATTTGAATGGCGAATTTGATATTTCGTTGGCTTCAATCGGCTTCACCGCAGCTGCGGACGACGACGACGACGATGAAGACCAAGCATCTTCGAGCAGCAAGCCAGATTTCACTAGGAAAGGTCCTTCCATCATCACAGAGGCTCTCGCAAAAGGGCTCTCAGTGACCGTCAACGCCACGCCTTGGCAGCGAGTGTTTATTCGGATCGACGACAAGGTCGATGAGGCTGTAATCATTATATACGGACTCATGCCAGGGAGGCAATACGATATCGACCTCGCCGTCGTGCAGGCTGGTAAGCAGAGCACGCTCCGTCAGCAAGTGATTACTGAAGGCGAGTGATCATATCTGTTATCAACGCATCGATAGCTGAACAAAAGATATTCAAGACGATTCGGATCACGATACAGCAGATGTTCACACAGATCCTGACTCAATGGACCATTCAACATCGTCCTCGGATCCACCGCAATCCACGCCTTCCACCTCCCCAAGCCGTACAATCCCGAGCACACCGCCTCCGCTGACTGCAGCCGCGCCCCAGATCACGCTGGAGGACCGACTCAGCCAGCTCCGTCACGCGCTATCCCTCGCAGAGGCCGAACGCGAGAGCCTCGCGTCGTCGCTGAAAACAGCGAGACGGGATGCTCAAAAAGCCGATGCAGCTCTGCGGTCCGAAATGGACATCCTGAAGCGTGCATCGGAAAAAAATGCAGCCGGTGAGCACAGAGCGAAGCAAAAGATATTGGCGCTTCAGGAGGCCGTCAAACGCGCACAGGCTGCTACGCGGGAGACGGAGGAGATGGTAAGAGAGCTGGAAGAACAACTTCCTGAGCTGTTGAAGCAAAAATCCGCAAAGGAGGAGGAGTACGCAAAAGTGAAGGCAGAGGCTGATCTTGTGCGAAGGGAGAGAGATTGTGCGTCGGAGAAGGAAAAAAAGAGGTTGGAAGCAATGAGGGTTGAGCTGGCTGGGTTGAACAACAAGCTGGAGAGACTTAGTGGGAAGAGAGAAAAGCTCGAGGTTGGGACGATACCCGACCTGGAGGAGCAATTAAAGGAGGTTGAACGGGAGATCGAGGTCGAACGTTTGAGTGATCAAGTGGATTACTCGGCCTACGTTCTACCGCGACCGCGTCAACAAAGTCTAGGTGCAAGTTGTGGTCCAGGTCCCATAAGCCGACCATCACCAGCTCATATTCATCGACCTGACGGCAGTCATTCACCTAGTTCAACAACTGGTCTTGGGGGACACTGGAATATATCACCGCGACACCATAATCCGCGCTCCTCGTCCCTGCAACAACACACCCCGACGATCCTTGCAAACCCAATGCAACGTCGATCATCCCTTAAATCCACGACGACCCCGACAACACCTACATCGCCTTCGCCGACCGCGACTAGTACGGCAATTACATCAACGTTATCGAGCCGTGCAGCGTCGTTTGAACCCGGTAGACCTCTGAAGGGAACAACTACGGCTACAACCTCTGGGTTCTCAGTATCCCCGATACCGATACAGAGATCAACAGGGGCGGCTCAGAATAATAGCATCGGTTCGAAGACACAGCGGACTGGAATTCACTGAGAGGATTGTTAGTAGTAGAATTTAATGATTGTGCTCCTAATGTGTAGCAATTTAATTTATATCTAGTCGGTACTGACGAAGGCTTGAAGGTCAAAGGTTGAATTTACGACCACCTCTGATGATTTACACGTCCAACGTTCAACAGTCGTGCAATCCAAGTGGCTTGGGCTTGAAGCATACAAGCCTTTAAGTAGCCAGATGAATTTTCCCGATGTCGTGATGCTTATTGCTTCACCGTCATCACCTCCATCGGACCAATCTCAACAGTCGTCTCCCCTTTAACGACCTTTAGTTGGCTCCCATTCACCACTTCCATCGTCTTCGCCTTCATGAACCCAACAGTGTGCGGACTAGCGTTCGAGCGCCCCATGCTACTCTTATGCTCGACACACGTCTTGTAAATTCCTTCCAGCGTCGTCCAAGCACCTTGATAACCTAACCCGCCTTTCTCCGGGGACAACCTCGCCCGAGAATCATCGAATAGCATATGCACAGATGTTAAAGTGAACAATGACGGCTGGAAGGTGAGAAGATCGCCTTGGACTGGCGGTAACAGTTTTTGCGCGATTAGACGCGTCAATGACCAAGTGGAGGTGATTAGGGTATGGCGGATGATGTAATATCCTTCGATGAGATGGGCGAACATCAGCATACCGGTGGGAGATATAGAGGTAAAACGGCACTCCCCATCGCACAACGTGGAGAGGGCAGTATACACATCGCCGTAAGTGGGTATCGGACCTGGGTCGGAGATATAGAACGATTGACCACCAATATCTGGATTCCTTTGTCTCTGGCTGCCGGGAGACTGCAGTTCAATGAGGCGCTGTTCGTAGCAAAGATGGGCACAGGCGCAGTTTTCGACATACGAAAACGACTGCATGACATTCGGATTCCAAGTGGGGACTCCCCCTCTGCTGAGGTAGTAACCACACATAAAGTCCCCTCCAGGACCAAAGATGCCATTTCCAGGACGAATGCAGCCCGTCTTGAGCACCCTCCCATTTTCAGCGGTACCCGTAGGCAGCTTATCCGCCCCTCTGACAAGTTTTTCCGCCTCCCATTTCGAAGCAGCATAGTTCGAGAAAAAGTCCTCGTGCCGCTTGGGTATACACCTCTCATCGTCTTCTACAATTGGCTGTACAAAGTGTGTCGGCTCCGACTCCCAAGGCCATAGTAAAAGGCGGGTATCGCGCAGTCCGACTGAGCCAGAGGAGGTATATATGAGGGCGGTGGCACCAACCGAACGCGCTGCGTCGATGACGTTCTGCGTTCCAGCCACATTGACCCGAATCGAGCGGTCCAAGAACATGGCATGCCGCTCGTAGAACCGAATGTTCGCTGCAGTGTGGAATACGGTAATTTCTGGCTCGGTTTCGCCATCCCTAAGGAGGTGGCCGTCATCCCAGGGGGCGTTGAAACCAGCTCCGAGTGAAACGGGGTTTGCTACGTCGATCTTGATGAACTGGACACCTCGCGAAAGGGCTTCTTTGATAGCGTAGTTGTGGGGTGGGCTCAAGTCAAGCAGCCGTACGCGCTTATGATCCTCGCCGCGTTCCAAAAGTTGTTGCACGATCCATGAACCTAGGAAACCACCCTTCGTCGCGGTTTATTAATCATTCGAAAGCACAAAAGATTTACATCTAACTCACCCCTCCGACAATGATGTACCTGCGCCCCGTTTTCGGTGGTAGTTGATCCTTTATTGAGATAGGTTTTTCAGTGGCCAATCGAGCTGACATGGAGCGGACATTCTGAGGTGTGCATCGTTTTGAAAGAGAGGCGATAGACGAAGGGAGAGTCTTCAGACGGATGTCGTTAATGTATATATAAAATCCAAGAAGGAGAGGTAGCAGAATGGCTGCCCATGCCTGAACTTGTCCCATGCTTTCGGGCGTGATCAATTCATGGTTCACGTTCAACCTTTTATATCTTTAGATATCGACTTTCAATCCTTCGTTGTGCAACATAAAAAAGTTATTTTTGAACGTTGAAACCCGAGGTGGGCGCATCATGCTGGTTGATCCCAAGTTATTTCAGTTGAGTGAGCATGTTCCCTTCAAAAACTTATTCGACGTCCCTCCACTCAATTATACCCAATCCTTTGCCCTCGAAAATACTGGGCATTCTTCTGCGATGTTTGGAAAAAAGCCGTTCAAAAACGGTCGAGCAGTTGCATATCTACCTTGATCATTGGCATCAGTTCGGGCTCGGGCAACCAAACGGGGCCAGTATTCAGTCAGCGGAGGCACAATCCTAGGTTCAACCAAGAGTGAGAAACGTCGTCGGCGGCCGCGCTAGCACAGAAAGAGACGACGTCGTATATAGAAGCATCCAATTACAAGCCGTAGAGGTATAGAGATCTACGATAAGATGCGTGCACTTCAGAACCCTGGCAGAACCGAGGAAGTGAACGATAAAGACATGTCACAAGGTACAGCGAATAGAACTCACAGGAGAAAGCTACTTGAAAGCAAGAAAAATGGTTCATGAAGGCGGAGGGGGTGGAGGCTCGTCTCTGGGTTGAGTGGCTCCTTGAGCGTAGGCTGCGTAGTACTGCGCGTATTGCTGTTGTTGACTCGCTTGCCATTCTTTGAACTCGGCAGAATTGACGTCGTACCCGTATGCAGCCCTATCGCGAATTAAGTGACGCGAAATGATGTTAATGCGACGATACTCACCAGTAGGATGCATAAGCTTCGGTATCGGACGGTGCAGGCGGTCCAGCTGCGTATTGGGCTGCGTCGCCACCTGGTGGAGCAGGACCTTCGCCTGGTGGTGGTGGAGGTGCCGGCGCGGATGGCGGGGGTGGAACGTATCCCTGCAAGGATTCGTTAGAAAATGAGAGGAGATTAACCCAAGTACGTGTCTACTCACTCCCATCGCACTGTACGCCGCGTATTGCGCTTGCGCTTGATGCAATTCCATTTGTTGTTGCTGCACCTGGACTGCAACTTTTGCGTGCTCTTGCCTTACGACTATCAGAAGATCGTCCGTCAAAACTTTGGCTCTTGCAACTTGGCCTTCCTCGGGACCACTAAAACAATATTGAGTGAGACCCTCGTCCTTCATGTGACGACGAACGTTATGTGGATGTAGAGAGGAACTGGTTCTTCTTGCCCTGTCTACAAAGAAAAAGTGAATACATTTGGTCATCGGTCGAGGGAAGAAAATACCTCTTGGTCAATGAATCCAGATCCAATTCCTTTTATTTGTACGCGAGTGCTCGTTTCTGATTGGATATACTTTACGAAAGAGCCCTGCAGCAAGTGTTATCATATGTGTCATACAATAAAAAAAACACTCACCGACGGTCCGACCACCTTTGCCCGTACATTGAAATTGCGGATAGAGTCAAGAGCCACGGGGAGTTTTTCCTCTGGCCATTTTCGCTAAAACAACGTCAGTCCTGATTCCTCTTGAGAAAGATCTCAACAATGCACACCTTTTCTCTCTGTCGATCACCCTTCTCCACTAACGAACCCATATCGATTGCAATCAACTCGTTCACTTTGTCAATCGCAGCCTGAAGTATCTCCTTCGTGCTCGCAGAGATATGGATATACAGAGGTGGGTCTTTCTCCGTAGCTTTGCTACGATCCGGGTACCACACACCCCTCGTACCGACCGATGCACCTGTCTCGTCATGAATCTGCAACAATTTGAGCATCTCATTCCTTGAAGCAAAAAAGTAAAATGCACCTGTTCCTGAGTCGACCCCCTCGTCAACAAATACCGATTCCGGACGTCGTTGATATCAATATTGTGGGTGAACTCTGCATCGTGCGGATCCCTCGGCAAACCTCCAGCGCTCAGCTCCCCATTGGCGAACTGGGCCGCTATTTTTGCGGCAATGGCTGCTGCAGCCGCCGCGGCCTCCGACGCCGTCCTTCCTTCATCCGTCTTTTTAGCGACGGTGCCCTCTTCTACCGACGCTGGTTGATCCCACTTGCTCCTTGACGCCATCCTAGTATTTTGGCTAGGTTTTGATTGTAGAGGTTTTAGAATGGAAGCGTGATATTACTTGTGACATTGACACGATCACTTTTTGGGCGATCCAGATTCCACAGCCTTTACAACAGGTGTTCGATAATGAAAGTGACTGAGAACGAAGACGTATAGCGATGGTGAGACCGGTATGTAGGGCATAGGAATACATAGAGGACAAATAATAGAGGACGTTTGGGCGACGCTCATGCGATTCCAACAAGGCTGTGTGTGATGCACATTAGAATGCACGGGGTACTGAACAAGAGTTACCCCTACGACTTGCAAGATTAAGTCAAGATACGGATAGTCCAAAAGTCATTGCACTCGTGCTTCTGGAGAAGGTAGTCATACGGGATCCTGAAATACCCATCATCGCGCCACTTAGCACCCCATGAACGTTGAACTATAAAGTGGCCCTTGGAGTCATCGTACCCGATCGCTACGACCGCAAGGCCGATCGGCGAGAACTCATCCTCGGACCCAGGAATCGCCTCCATAGACCCGTGAAGCCTCAAACCAAACACAAACGGGTATCCCTCATCGAGACAGGCGCGCAGGAGCTTGAGATCGTGCTCAATCCTCAGGTACTGAATAGCCTCGTGTTTGAGAGCGTTCCTGTAGGCCGAGGCAGGGGGTTTCGTAGCGGCCCGCGCACCATCGACGAAGATGCCGGTGCTCTCGTCGTAAACGCCACATGGCTCATATGGCCAGTCCTGCTCAGAGCACACGCCGATGACCGCGATGCGCTTCAACCCGTCGCGCAAACGAGCTCCGCTGTTTATCCTGCCCCAGTCACTTAAAAAACATCTCCCGTTCGTTGTACCAGATAAAAAGTCGAGAGGCGATGAAGAAGTCATAAACGTCTTGTTTGTATTTCTTGAGCACCATGGCAAAAGCAGAAGCATTTGCATTGGCAGTACAGCTTCCGACGGTGCCTTGGTCGAAGACAGGGCCAGAATATGAGCTGGTGCGTAGATTAACCAAGGATTTCAAAGCGTTTTGTGCAAGACGAACATAGAGGTACTTAGTCGCGGTCATCGATGAAATCAGGTATCCAACCAGCGGGAGGGATGCCAATGTTGTCGTCGTCGTCGTCGTCTTTAGGGCGCTTGGTGGAAGGGTCATCGGGGTCTAACCAACGGGAGGGTCCTCCCAATCAGTCCCAATCACTAATAGGTCGTTCAATAAACATAAGCAGTGACATATCACTCACCACCCAGCCGTCCTATGTGATCCTCTATTGATTGTGTTTGGTGTTCCAGTTCAGAGTTGATATAGGGGAAGTGGAGGGATTTGCGAACTGCCAATAACTCCTACCTTGACTAGTTTACCCCATCTCCTATGTTTGGATATCTATGTTTGGATCTGACACCTCTTGATTCAGCTCCTAGAGGAGCTGAATCGTCAGCATGGTGACGCAGCGGTTGGTGCTGTCATAGAGGGAGTCATCAATGCAGTGCGCAGTCGAAAATGATCGTTACCAATGCTATATAAACCTCCCTTCTTCCCTTGAGTCTGCCAGTGAACTGGAACACCAAACACAATGCACCCAGCTGTTTTGGAGGACGGCTGGATAGTGAGTGCCATGTCACTGCTTACGTTGTGGCCGTTTAACGTTAAACCCTTGCCAGTTAAACGACTTTAGTGATTGGGAGGAGGACCCCATTGATTGGGTACCTTCAGATCCCGATGACCCTTCCACCAAGCGCCCTAAAGCCAACGACGACGACGGCATTGGCATCCCTCCCGCTGGTTGGATACCTGACTCCCTTGATAACCGTGACTACCTCTATGTCCCTCTTGCAAAAAACTTTTTGAAACCCCTGGTTGATCTACGCACCAGCCCATATTTTGGCCCCGTTTTCGACCAAGGCACGGTCGTCGGAAGCTGCACGGCCAATGCAATTGCTTCTGCTTTCGCCATGGTGCTCAAGAAACACAAACAAGACGTTTATGACTCCTTCGTCCCCTCCCGACTCTTTATCTGGTACAACGAACGGGAGACACTATCAAGGGACCGGGTCAGGATAAACAGCGGAGCTCGCTTGCGCGATGGGCTAAAGAGCATTGCAGTCCAGGGTGTGTGCTCTGAGGAGGACTGGCCATATGAGCCATGTGGCGTTTACGATGAGAGCACCGGCATCTTCGTCGATGGTGCACGGGCTGCTACGAAGCCCCCTGCCTCGGCCTACAGGAATGCTCTCAAACACGAGGCTATCCAGTACTTGAGGATTGAGCACGATCTCAAGCTCCTGCGCGCCTGTCTCAATGAGGGATACCCGTTTGTGTTTGGCCTTAGGCTTCACGGGTCTATGGAAGCGATTCCTAACTCTGAGGATGAGTTTTTGCCGATCGGCCTTGCGGTCGTGGCGGTCGGGTACGATGACTCCAAGGGCCACTTTATAGTTCAACGTTCATGGGGTGCTAAGTGGCGCGATGATGGGTATTTCAGGATCCCGTATGATTACCTTCTCCAGGAGCACGAGTGCAACGACTTTTGGACTATCCGTATCTTGACTTAATCTTGGAAGCCGTCAGCAGTAAGTCTTGTTCAGTACCCCTCATCAGATATTGGTGCATCACACACAGTGTTGGAATGGCTAGTTAGTTCAGTCACATGGGTCCAATATCAACGGAACAGCCGGACATGACAATGAGTCGTAGTGAACGGGTCAGCCGGGGCGGCCGGATTGATTGCCGTTGTTCCGTTGGCAACGAAGCGGCCGGGGTCCCTACAATTTCCCAATAACAACGGACTGGCTGTCAATAACAATTATCCATTGATATTGGGGCGGCCGGTTGTATTACCCTGACCTTCCAGCACCGTCGGCACCCCCACTGACGGGACACTGGAAACCCTCCCGCGGGGCACACCAAAATTGAAGATGGGCACTGCTCTGCTTGCTACATAGTTTACCTACAATTTACAATTAAGACCTCTCCTGTAAACTAAGCATGAAATCTTTGGTACCAGCATACATCTCATCTCTTATCTCACCCATTACCTCCAAGAAGGCCTCCACATCGAACAAAAACTGCATCTTTTCCTGGCGGAGGAACTCCAAGGCCTGAGCAGAATCACGGGCTCGGGAAGAAAGATTTTGCACTTCAGCTATAACCTGATCAAGTTCTTCTTTCTTAGTCGAGTCCTTTTTTTTTCTTAGCAGGAATAAATAGTCAACAGGGTAACTCACCTCAAATCTTGGGAATGAAAGCCTTTCATCAAGCCACTCCAACTCCCTGTAGTGGTCTGCCACCCTTGGGTGGGTGCTCAATCTTGAAGGCATGTAGGCCTTGGCCGCGGGATCGGAGGCTTGTCCTTGAGGGCTATTGAGACCCATGGGTTCGGACGCTGTTCCAGGAGGGGCCTCTGTTATGGGAAGAGGTGCAGCCGCAGGGCGTCTCAAATTGAAGTTGAAGGGTTTGTCGGAGTGTTTCTGTGGGACTGCCGTGGCATTGGAGGGAACGGAATCTAGACTGCCCTCCTTGGCTTCTCCGTCGGCAGCCTTGTTAGGGGGGGCCATGATGGGGCGTTTAAGTGAAAAGTTGAAGACGCCATCAGGAGTGTCCCTAACAGGGCATTTGAGGGTGAAGTTGAACATGCTGTCAGGAGTGGGAACGCTGTCGGGCAGTCCTGCGATGGGGTGTGTAAGATCGAAGTTGGATGGGCCGTCGGCGGTGGGGACGTTGTTGGGAGCTCCCCCGACGGGGCGACTAAGTTTCAAGTTGAATGCGCCGTCGGTGGCTGCTACCGCGGGGCGACTAAGTTTCAAGTTGAATGCGCCGTCGGTGGCTGCTACTGCGGGGCGACTAAGTTTCAAGTCGAAGGCGCCATCGGTGGCTGCTACCGCGGGGCAACTAAGTTTCAAGTCGAAGGCGCTGTCGGTGGCTGCTACCGCGGGGCGATGAAGTTTCAAATTGAAGGCGCCGTCGGCGACTGCGACTGCAGGGCGTTTGAGTGTGAAGTTAAAGGCACCGTCGGCTACACTCTTGCTGGAGAGGTCGCCGTCGGGGTGCCTGGGATTGAATTTCTCTGCACCTTTCTGGGTGTCCATGGGTGTTGCTGGAGGGGGTGATGATCGATTTAAATCGATGGGGTCTTTGAGGTCCACGATGGATTCTGTGCTGGAGTGCTGATTGACATCCAGCAAGGTAACCCCGCCGTGGGTGGCATTCGATGCCGTTGGTTTTGGAGTGGGCCATTGCAAATCATAAGAAACTTCCCGATGATTACCAGGTCGCTTGAGATTGAAGGCAAAATCTGTTCAAACCCGTTGAGATATCCACATTGCTGTTGTTATGAGCATACCTGGCTTTCCCTTCAATGCCTTTCCAAGCTCTGTTTTTTGGTTCATGGTAAGGCTATTATGAGATGAATCACTGACAAATTTAAGGGAAGCAGATAGAGGGACAAACTTTGACAGAAATGAAACGATCAATGTCAAGGTAGATATGATCAACTGGGATCTGACAACGGCATGGTCACGTGACCATGTTGAAGATTTTTTGCACCAAGTCCCGCTCTCTCACCACCGCACAACAGACCGCAAAGACCTGCCGCCGCCACTGTCACCTATCCCCGTGGTCAACATGTCTACATCCACCTTACGTCCTCAGGAGCTTGAAGCCGCTATCCAAACGTTTTATACAGCTTTCGTCGACATGTTAGCTGTGGGACCAGGCCACTACATAGAGAGAGAGAAGATGCTTGCTACATGTCAGGCTGGGGTAAGTCAAACTCTTCACACAAACTCTCCCAATTGACATCAATATATTCCAGAGTGGCGTTGTCAGTCTTTTGGAGGACAAGGACGTACCCACTCCTGGCATTGACGCGCTGCTCAACACGTTGGACGACGTCTTGCCACAATTGAAAGATGGCGAATCCATCCTCGCCGACCCATTCATTCAACTCTCCTCAATGGACTGCCCACCCTCTCTACACCGCAAAGTCGAGGAATTGTGCATGAAGGCCAACCAGAGGAACCATAACCCCGACCCCCGCAGCTTCGCGACGTTGCCTCCGACGGGCAAACAGGCAGGCTCCCTGACAAAATCTGACAACGCCCGTCCCGCGGCCAAAGGGCCCGCTGTCAATAAACCCCAAACTGGTTGTTCCAACCCGCCGTCACACCAGGTCCCACACCCCGTCAACAAACAAGCCCCTCCTGGTGGAGAGGAAGCGCCCAGGTCCACAGGTCGTGTGTCGCAGTCAGCAAAGACCTATCAGGCCATCGAGGACGAGTCAAGTGGGGAGTCGGAATCCGATTATGAGGAGGCGGAGAAGACGAAGAAAAAGAAGAAAGTCCCCCATTCGCGGAAGGTGATCAAGACACCAGCGGTCATTACAGCTGAGATGGATGAGGATGCAGAGTGGGAGAACACCGACGGGGAGCATGCCGATGGGGATGGGAGTGACAGGGATGATGCTGTTGGTCAGTCGAGGGGGAAAAGGAAGGCAATGGTGGGGGATGGAGAGGAGGACGAAGAAAATTATGAGGACCAGGAGGAGGAAGAGGATGATTCAAGGGACAAGGAAACCATCCAGTGGTCGAAAGAGGATCGACACCAAGAGAAGATGGATGCTCTGTGGAAAGCTGTAGATGGGGATGATCCATATGTCAAGGCCATAAAGAGGGGGTTGGTCGCCAAGGACCTCAAGACGGGCCCGTTCTACTGGGGATCGTACAACGCACCACTGCAAGATGATGGCAACGAAGCCATCCCATTCGACGACCTGGACAACCCACGGCTCAACCCCTCTGATCACAACGGCTTTCTCAAGTACGTTCTTGTCGACCTCTATAAGGAAGGTTGCAGCCATTGCCGCCACGCCAGGAGGAAATGTTTCTTTGGGGGCAGCAAGCCCAATCCCCTGGGCCAGACATATGGGCAGGAGCGGGAGAAAGCCGGAGCGGGAGCATGTGGAGAGTGCAAGGCAGGGAAAAAGCGTTGTTTTGGAAAGGGCCAGGCTCGATATCGAACGATCATACAGAATCCCTTCTACTCAGGAAACAAGAAGACTGGGGGAAAGGCGAAGAAGGTGAAAATCAAGCCTGAGGTTCGTCCTGCCTCCAAGCCCAAGAGGTCAAGTTGTGCCGCGGGCGTGGGCGGTACCAGTCGTGCCGCAGGCGCAGGGGGTACAGCTCGTGCCGCGGGCGGTGCCAGGGTGCCCGACGGTAAGTTGATTTTCACCGTTGGTAATACCTTGACTGAATATGATGATAGATGACGACCAGTCAAAGGTCAAGACTCAGATGGCCGACCTAGAGAAGACATGTCAAGAACTGGCTTTGAAGGTAGTCGACGGCCAGGCAGAGCTCAGGAAAGCCATTGAGGATGCTGAAGATCGGATGAAGCATGAAGTTCGGAAGATTCGACAACATCAGAAAACGACCACAGCATATGTCGAGCTGAAGACCTGCTCGGTAATGGAGGCACTTGCGGTGCTGGGAAATTCTATGCATGAGATGATGGAAGACATGCTGAAGGCTTTGCAGGGGGTTCCACAGGGCCTACAGGACGTAATTGCCGAAGAGCCCTTGTCAAACTCCGGCAGTCTGGACACCGACGGCCACTTGTCACTCGCCGCGGGGGGGGGATCCACCCCTTGCCATTCTTCAGAAAATGCAGGACGACTGGAATCGAATTTCCAAGCTCATCCAGCACCACCTGCCCGCGGCCAAACACCTGGAGACCATAGCGAAGGGTTCCCGTTCCCCAACCCTCATCGAAAATTCACAGGCTGGTCAAACCAGCAACATCCCAGGGGTAGAAGAACTTGAACGGGTGGAGGTCACTGCCCAGGGTATTAGGATGGAGGTTGATCAACCCGACCATGGACAGGGGACTGATAATGGGACGTCAGCAGCATCCGCCCCTCAAGAGTCATCTTCCATCCTGCCCCTCATCAGCAGCGGCAAGAGTGGTGTAGTCCCCGACGGCGACGCTGGCAGCTCCCCCCGCGGCGACAGCAACAAAACTGGGATCTCCCCCGTCGGCGACACAGAGAACGCGGCCGACGGCCAACGAGGTGTGTCCCCCGTCGGTCAGCCCCGCGGCGACAGCAACCAGACTGTGATCCCCCCCGTCGGCGACACTCAGGACCCCACCGACGGCCCACAAGGTGTGTGCAACGGTCCTGATGCCCCCGATGGCGAGGACCCCATCCTCCCCCGCAGCGGTCGTCCAAACCCCCGCGGTCTTATCGTGCCCATGGGTGCCTCAACAGCAATGCCTGACGGCGAGGAGGAGCCCATGTCTCCACTTTCAGAAGAGGATGAAGCTGCTGTGGGGACCAAGAGAAAGCACAACAAAGATGAAGAAACAGGTCCTGTGGAGAAGAAAAAGAAGAAGGCTCCCACCAAGAAACGTGCCCCTCCAAAACGTCGGGTACCCCGCGGCAGGACTGCAGACCCTGCCCCTGTTGAAGACCAACAGACTGCTTGAGTTCGTGCAAGGGTGAATGGACTGTCTCGTCTTCTTGCCATTTTTCTCACCCTCACCTCCCCCCATCTTATGCTCCTGTACCTACCCACTCATTCATGTAACATACATATATCTTGTTACCTTGCAAAAAATAATGCCCTTTCCATGTCAATTGTTTGTTTCATTGAAATAAGCATGATGTTCTGTGTTGAAGAAAATATCTCCATTGTTGGATGCATTGAATTGAACATCGTGTTCAGAATCCATATACCTGTCTATGAAATTATCTAAGTCTTCTTTCACGTTCTTTTTCCAGCCTTAATTGTGCTGGGGGTGCCAGGTTATATTTTGGCTTTGGCGGCCTACCCGATCGTCGGTTCACAGTAAACATTGCGTCTTCATCATCACGTTGTTGGTCATTTCCTCCATTCTGATCATTGTCAGTCGATGCCGCGGGACCCTTTTTGATTGGCCGCGGACGTTGTTTTCGTCTTACAGCAGGAGGAACTGTAGGTGTTGGATTGATATTAGCCGTTCTTTTGACCACCGGGCGTTGCCCCCTCGTTTCCTATATCTTGGTTCTTCTGGTGCATCTTCATCACTTCCAGAGGGTGAGGGACTAAAGTCTTCCTGTGTCGCTGGTGTCTTTTTGGCTTTTCTTCCCCGCGGCGCTACCCCACCGATGGGAGTGCTATCCGACGGCAAGTGTGGGCTGATTGGTCGGGTTGGCTTTTTCTTCCGGCAGGGCAGTTGGTGCTCTTCTGCCGGGTTGTCATCGTTGTTGGTTGAGTGGTTGTCTTGATTCGGTAAACTGGATGTTTTCCTAGTTTTCGTTTTCTTCTTGCCAGAGATACTTTTTGTTTTCTTTCTTCCAACTCTTGGCGGCAGATCCTCATGGTTGTCCTCTGGCCCTCTCTCAGGCGATTGGGCTTCCAAAGCTTTTTGCAAGCGAGCCTGTATCCGACGTCTTCCACCATCCTCATCTGTAGAGGGATCGCTCTCGGGTTCATGGGTCATAGTTCTTTTATTGGTGGTGGGGTCAGATTCCACCTCTTTGTCACCCCCACGGTTTCTCCCTATTGCCTGGGCGGTCAACACTTGGGGACCACTAACTAGGGTGTTTGTCGGAGCAGACCGAGGCTCAGGGGTAATGCCTGGGGTGGGAATGGATGGCAGAACCTGTGTCGGTGTAGTTTGCATTGTTGGAGATTCTTCTGCCGCGGGCGTGAAGGCCCTATCCGACGGAGCTGTCTGTGGCTCTGGGGTAATGGCTGGGGTTGGAATGGATGGGACAGGAGGCCCCATGGGGGTAATTCTTCCTTGAAAAAATGTATCTGGCAGTGAAGTGTGGGAACTTGGCATGTCCACCGTCGGAGGACGTCTGCTCGCCGCGGGGGTGGATTCCTCTGACGGCATGGGATAGGAAACTGGTTGAGAGGCCGTCGGGCATTCCCGTGCCGTGGGTGTCGATGCCCCCTCCGATGGTGTGGGACTGGGAAGTGCTGGAGGGACCGTCGGGGTGTCAATCACCGCGGAAGTTGGCAAAGTCTCGAACTGGGTATTATAAATGGCAGGTTGTATTCCATCCCCCACTGGATAAAATTTGAACTTGAATGTATCTTTGGCCCCACCTTCAGACTGTCTTTCTCTCCATAACTGTACAATTTTTCGGCAGTCGTTGAGAACAATTTTACTTGGATCCCGGACCATCACACGAGCAGGCCACATCTGTGTGTCCCACAAGATCAACTGATGAGTGGCAAGAGAAGTCCAAGGGGTCGGAGTCTTTTTGCCACAGGCAAGCTGGTAGTGGATGGTGATAAATTCCCTAATCATAGCCTGTAGTGTTTCAGCGTGTTCGTGACCACCCACTGGTGGAGGAGGGAGAATAGGCAAATCTCCTTCCAGCTGCAAACATATTTTCTTTTTGCCGCAGTCCTGGATGACCGTTCCGTTCTCAGCAGGGACATTCGCCATCAAGTCTACAGTGACAAATTAATTTTGCTTGTATGATAGGTAGTCATCGTATCATACCTTTGATATGTTTACAGTAAGTGATCCATGCCTTTGATATCTCGAGCACCTGTTCCTTGAACATCACCTCAAATTTTTGGGCGCTGTCGGGGACACCAAACTCGTCACTGTGGTCATTCCAAATGTACCGAGCATGTCCCTTCTCATCGAAATAGGTTTCCATTCCCCAACTCATGAGTCTGAGATGATGGCTCTTAACCCTATCCATCTCTTTCAACATTGATGCCCCATGCCGTTTCCATAGCCTGCATTTTGACATGAGGACTTCCCGCAGGATGAAGAGCTCCGTCGGTCACTCACTTTCTCTGGACATCCGCCGGCGGGGCCTCTTCACTCCACTCTTTGGCCATTGCCTCATATACTCTCTTCTCCGTTGGAGGCAACCCCTCAACAATGTACTTCAAACCAGTCTGATACTTGGACAGGAAAGCTTTCGATCCTGGTGGCGAACCGCCTGCCAGCTCTCTAACCTTCAAGTACACTTCTTCTTGTTTAAGATGAGCCACCACATATTCCAGGAAATAGGCTTGATGTATCGGTACCGGTTCACATGAGGACGTCGTCCATGGTTGTAGTACCATTCCTTAACTTTCTACAACACAATGTAACCTGATTACCAGATTGAGGGACCGAGGGACAGTACTTGCCTTTTTCCTGTCTCGCCACTCTTCCGGGGTCAACTCTGGACCAGCGGCCTTTATGAGCCTATAAATCTTGTACATGAGCAACTCTTTCCTCTGCTCTTTCTTCTTGTTTCTAAACTCGTCAAGGAACTCTCTCAAAATGGTCTCTTCTGCTTGTGAAAAGGCTGCCTGAGCACGACAGGGTTGTGTCTGTGGTACATTGGGTGGACGCCCAGGGGGGGACACCATTCATGCACAATTGGGAGTACAAGAATGGAGACAATGACTTGACAAGGCAGGGGACAACGAGGCCCATCCAATAAATTTACCGGACACCTGTAAGGCACACTGCCGTGGTGCCTACCACCGTTGCCGAATCAAGGTGATGCGAAGGATTCAGGGACCAGTCGGTGACTGTGCACAGACCATGCATGCCGACGCCCAACGACGCACTCAGCCAATTCTCCTTCCTGACGCACGCTACATAGACCATGCGAATCTATGCCTCACTCTGATGATTCTCTTGCAAGAATGAACCGAAAAAGGTATGTTTTCCAATCGAAACTAAAAAAACAGCATCTAATGACGATATCCTTTATGAAACCTTCATTCTATCTTGGTTTCAACTACAAATCACGCTTCTTTTTTTTTTCCTCTATAAGAACATGTGCCCGGACAAGCCCCATTTCATTCACACAGAAAAGGAGTATCCATTGATGCTTGTTATGAGCTAAGATGATGTGTATGAAGTAGTATGGGAGGGATTTAGCAGGTGTTGAAATGTTTGTGGATCACCGTCCTACCATAACCATTATTTCAGCCCTCCCTCCCTTGAAAGTGTGTGCTGGGCATACTAAAATTTATTTCTATTACTGACTGGCAGGTCTACAGTAATTTACACACTGTTAGACCCACCAGACAACTGGCGACGGATAGGACTGTGGAAAGGTGGGGAGTACCATCCCGATAGCTCCCCCCAAAGCCTGCGACATTGCTGTTACATCCGGTGAGGTAATAACGATGATTAAAGGTATTGTATAACAGAACGGAAAACCTCCGGTGTGTATTGGAGAAGGATTCAGAATACCGGGGGCACATTGACAACATGAGGTTGCCCGTGTCAGGTGCCGCTGGACAGCCACATCGCCGCGGGACCACTGAATGTCAGGAAATTGGCCACTCCCTTGCTTCAATCACAACATGCGTCGCTTCAAGATTCCCATTGATATGCTGGACGAACCCCTTCGGGTGGAGACATCCATTCGTAAAACAGCCCGGGGGCAAGTTCAAAAGGTCAAATACCATCGCATGGAGGCAGACCTCCCTACGACAACTCCTGCAGCTGCCACCCTCCCAACTCCTGCCCAAGAGATCAACAATCTTGGTGAAGGGTATGACCAAGATGCCACAGTCATCCCCCTGCATCAAAGGACATCGGGAAAGGTAGGCCAGATCTCCCTTTGATTCTCCTGCAACCATACTCCAATTACTGCAGACACAGAATGACTATCTTAGAGACTGGAAGGCCCTTCGGGATCGTCACATCCATGTCATGCTGGAAACAGAAGCACCACCATCGTTGATGATTTGTGCTGAATGTAACCAACAACGGGGGTATTTTCGTTGTCTTGATTGCTCCTCACAACCTCTCCTCTGCTGCGGATGCTGCCGGGTTGGGCACAAGAGACTTCATACCCACAGGATACAGTGTTGGAATGGGAAATTTTTCAGGACCAGTGCTCTCTGGGAAACTGGATTGATTTTCAATCTGTGCCATGGTGGTAATCCTTGCCCACGATTGGCAGAATCTGAAATGGAAGAGAATTCCAGGCAAGACCAACAGTGGATTTCTAGGATTGTTGGCCCCGCGGGAGGTGGAGCCACCGCCGCCGGGGAGACCAATTCCACTGAAGCCCCCGCCCGCGGCGTGGAAACAATCCTGGATCCTCTTACCGTCGGGTCAGACAATAGCCCCGTGGCAAGGACATCGATGGCCGCGGGACCAATCGAGACCCCCGCGGGAGGTAACGCAGCCGCGGGACCAGTCGCTTCCCCGGCGGAAAATGCCTTGGAAAGCGTCACCGTCGGAGGTAAGAATGTGGACACTCAGTACGGTGGTGGTGGAGGTACCAACATTCCAGACCTCAATACCCGATTGGGCAAGGCTGCCCTGGAGCTATTTGGTGATGACAAGGGAGAAGGAGATGTTGATGAAGGTTATGACTCTGAAGACATCGACAATGTGGAGTCAGAAAGTTCCGAACAAGACCTTCATGATGATGATGCTGAGAATGTTACCGACCATGCCACAAATGAGTATTATGAAAGAATGAAAGGCTTCGATACCCCCCCTCAGCCTGTTGGCGAAGATCCGCTTGGTAATCCTTTCATAACAGTTGTTGACACCAATGGCCTTCATCATCTTCCCATTCACTATTGCATGTGCCCTTCTTCACGACCAAGGGATGAGCAGTTGTTACAGGAAAGGCTCTTTCCCAGCAGCTTCACCTCCATCAGGACCGTCTTCACATTCCGAGTTTTGGATGATTTCCGTATGACTAACTTGTGTTGCAAAAGTTCCTGTTACCAATATTTTCTGAAACTTCGACGGTTAACATGCCCTACATTTCCCAAATCAGTGCCAGTGAGTTGCACGTGGAGACTCAAGCTGAACCCTGTTCATACCCTCTTTTCCACATTGTTTCAAGGACAGATACCGAGAATTGCTGCGGGTCAGCCGCCAATGGAGGAACATGGAGCTTCGAAAGTCATTTGGATTTGGACATGAAGACCGCATACCTAAAGCTGGAGAAATGGCATATGGCTGTGCTTCCTGTCCCCAACCTGGAACCAACTTACCAGACAACTGGAAAGAGGAACCAGATCAGTATGTTGTTCACTCAGGGGCTTTGAGATTACTGAAGTGAAGTTTTTATCAGAGATGTTTTTACTAGGTTCATATGTGTAGATGGAAATTTCTCGGCTGATCACCTGAAGCAGAAAAATCCACTGGATGATGTCCCATTGACCAGTGGTGAGGGGATGATGACCAACCAGACACGATACAAAAGCTACCTTGCCCACCCAATGGCAATACCCCAAGTAAGTACGTTCCCCCCATTCCCGCGGCCCATTTGCAATAGCCCCGCCTGAGGTGGGCAAATGGAACTTCCGTTGCCGTCGGCCAGTGCCTTAGTCTACCGCGGGCTATGCTTGCCGTCGGCCAGTTGCGGCAGAGCACCTCGCATGCTTGCCGCGGGCAGACATCAGGTGGAACTAGCGCTGCCGTCGGGCAGTGCTGGGTGCCTCAATCTACCGCGGGCTGCGCCTGCCGTCGGCCAGCTCCAGCGGAGCATTTCCCTGCCGCGGGCTCATTCGGTGGGCTTTGCCAGCCGCGGGCAGAAATTACTGCCCATACACTTGCATTTAGATCGCTCATTTTTTTTGCCAGCCGAAGTCGACTTGTACCAACCATCAGGCGGTCAACAATGCAAGTCAAAATCATGCAGGTTGTGATGTGACTGGCATTGCTGCTTTTGCATGTGCCAGATCCGGTGCCTTCATTCTGGGAAGTGTGGTTGATTTTCAAAAGGGCGAACATCAAATGAACATTGACTATGCATTGTGTGAGGCACTGAAAACAATGAACTTGGATGCAGGTGGAAAGGTAATGGTGATATATGATGTGATGTGTCAATACCATGTCCACCTCTGGAAGAGAATTTCTGAGAACCCCTTCCTCTCTTTTCCGGAAAAGTTGCAGCTGTTTGCTGCAATCGGTCTCTTCCACGTCCATGGTCATCGGGATGAATGCCTCTTCAGGTTTGCCACCTCCTTCATTCCAGGTGCTGGGATGGTTGACGGCGAGATCCTGGAATCTCTGTGGTCCCAACTTAATGACATTTCCCGGAGTACTCGGACCTCCACTTTGGCCCACAGATCAGAAGTTCTTGACAACCATATGAATTACAGCAACTGGAATAAAATGGTCAACATTGTTTCTTCTGTTATTTCAAAGTACAAGAAGTCTGTCGTGGGTTTGGTGGACAGCCAGGAGTACTTTGAGCAATTGAATCACTCTGCTTTGCCTTCAGATGTTGTAAAGTGGACTGAGGACATTAGGCATGCCAAAAAACAACGGGAAAGAGGTAATCTGAAAGCTATGGATATCATGGAACCAGCCAAACCAGCAAATTATGAAGGCAAGTCCTCCATTTTTCCATTCCGTTTTCTGGAGGGTCCCGCGGCTATCTTGCTGTCTGCCGCCGGCGATAGGCCCGACGGGGATACAGGTGTCGCCGACGGTGCAATGTATTCCCATGGGGGCTGCTGCCGCGGGTGCTCTGCAACTTATCCCTGGGATATTCTCATTGATCTTGGCTAAATAATTGTTCATCAGCTCCCAAGTCAACCGCAGATGTCCAATTGGACCTTATGGAGCAGGAAGCTGCTGCAACAGGGGAAACTGGACAAACGTCGTGGATAGCTACAGGGCTCAAAATTGAAGAATCACAGTTAGTTCTCTATTCAGGAACATGACGCAGCACTAATACCTCCTCAAAGGATTGATCTTCGTTGCTTCATCCGAAGGCTTGGCTCACACCCGACCACCGCTCAAAAGCTTGAGATTGCCAAGAAACGGGAGAGGCTAAGGTCCCGTGTGGATACGTTCAACAGGACGGCATGGAATTTCATCGGTCAAAATATTCAACAGTCTCTCTCTGAGAATGTCACCCTTCTTGTTGAAGAGTTTGACATGGATGACATGCTCCAAATCGATGATCCACTCCCTACCGATAATACTGGCACAGGCCCGACGGCTACCTTTGCCGCGGGATGCCCGACGGGCCAACTTACCTTGGAACAGATTGCTCTGGCTAAGGCCAGTCGTGCCTTTGCTGCCACTCGGTCAGCCACTGAAGCCGTTGAACATGTCAAAATTCCATTGCCATCTACTTTCGGAGCTGCGATGCTGCATTCCAGACAGTTGGAATCACTCCTATGGAAAGAGTATCAACTCCGACAAGGTCAGGCCAATGATGCTCTGCAGGGTGTTCGGGTGTCGATTGCGAATCTCTCGTTTGAGTATTCGAAGAAACTCCGAAAGATCAAGAAAAGCAAGGTGAAGAAAACAAGAGCCTGGGCGGGGATACAATCTGTTGGGAGAGTGCTTCATCATCACAGATTGCTTTATGCCCATGCGGTGAGAGCATTGGAGAAATTAGGGGACCCTGACAGAACCATTGGGACTCTTTACAAACCATTGGAGGTGAAGGACATGCAAGCTAACACTGCCATTGCAGATCCCAATGCTCCCGGGCAACGTAACATGCGGCCTGCTTGGTTCTGGGGCTCTGACCTTTCTGGCAACATGGAAGATAATTCCAGAATGGTTGAATGTGGGTCCTAACATTCATGGTCCAGCTTGAATTCCAATATGAAACTATTTCAGTTCACAGGGTGAACTGGCTTCGTGTGCGGGCACGATATCATCGTTGGAGAGAAGAATTTAATATAACATCACACGAGATGGAATGGGTTACGAGATATTTTTTATTCCAGACGAGGAAATGGGCAGGATGGAGGGAATTAGCTAGGGGTGAAGGGAAGGATGGCCATGTCTGTTACGCTGAGGGGCAGATGGATATCTGGATGAGGCTTGCTGAAGATGCCAACAAACGATTTTCCATTGCAAACTTTCATTATCAAGTAATCCCTCTAGTATGAATGTATTTCAATGATTATTGGTCCTATTAGTGTGGCCAGCAGTGTACATCGGGCGGGATGACACTCCGCCGTTATCACACCGTCGGCACCAATTTTATCACGCCGTCGGCACTGGCATCACCGCGCTGTACCGCGGCGCCTGTCGCGGCATTCTTCCAATTGTTTCCCCGCGGCGTTGTAACCGTCGTAATAACCGTCACCGCCATGTGTGGATCACATGACCATATTGCTCTCGATCAGATTAGAAACATTGGTTATCAGTTGCGACCTTTGAACTACCATGCCGCCATCTCTCTTGCAAGGACAATGGCTCATTTATTATTTCTCCTCGCGTTGCAAAGCTGCTTGGCAAGCTTTTGAAGACAAGGAAGACTCTTGGACAGAATCCCCTGAGAAACACATGTGGTGGACAAAGGGTCTCCGTGCAGAGGGTGTAAGTTCCACTGTCTTTGACAGTGAATATGTTCATCTGTTGTTTTATATGCAGGAAAGACTGGCATTGGCCATCGGCTATCATGTTGCTGATGGTAGTGTTGTCAAAATCCCTGCTTGGGTAAGTTCTTTCATGCACGCAACTCATGTCCAAGACAAAGAGTTCGCTATACTGCCACCCCTGGACCTCCTCCCCAATACCACATATCCCGACGACCCCAGCCGCATCGTTTCATCCTACCACGCAGATTGGTGGAACACCGAAGAGAACCCCTGCCTTCCCAAACCTTACTCCAAGGAAGAGATGAAGGCCTTTGATGCTTGGCTACAATTGGTTGATCAGGTTTGGTTTCCATACTCTCATTCAACTTCTATCTAATGCACCCTTTTTTAGCCTCTCAGTATTGATTCACAATCACGTCCCTTAGGACCGATTCCTCAAGATATCAGTGCATCCGCGGCACGCGCCTTCAAGTGTCTACAGAGTGCTCTCATTAGAATTGAGGTAGTTATGGCAAACTGGAGGGATGCAAGGAAGGCAGCTCGTTGGCGCATAGGAACTTTGGAAGCCTTGTTGGAAAAGGTGCACCAGGGTGATCTGAGCCTTGACATTCCGGCAGACTTGCCTATCCCACCCCGCCCATGGCTGAGCAATGACCCACCAAAAAACAAATTTTTGCCTTACTTGCTACCTCACGGCGAAGCTTTTCCTCCACCATCAACACCCCAGGTTCCACTATCTGCGGTAGGAGAAACCTCCAGTCCATCGTTGGAGCCATTGCTTCCATCAATCGCACCACGGGGATCTACTCTGTCCGAGGGGCCACCGCGGTCCCCTGGGTACACCGTGCCGCGGAGGCTTTCTCCACTTGGAGTGCCGTGGGGGACTCCGCTGCAACCGCCGCATGCACCGCGGGGACCCTCTCCCTTGGATGGTATGGTTGTTGATTTAGCCCCCCCATCTCCGGTGTCATCTGCAGATCTTGATTGGGACGCTTCAGGCTCAGATTCTGCAGAAGATCCTGACTATGAAATGAGTGAAGGCTCTGATGGTCAAGGTTCAGCCTTTGACAGCGACGCTGCTTAGGCAAGTTTTCTACCCCCTTGCACAAGTGATTGTACTGAGGCAGGACTTATATTCTAGTGAAAAGTCTGTACATGCATATCTGGTAAATGACATCTCTTCTAGTTATATTTCAAAACATCATCTGCTTCCTTCTGTTCCTGTTCTTTGTATATCTTTAAGTTCATCCATGTCCCCGCTGGTATGCCCAGCCGGTCATGCACCGTATTCCTCATGTAGTATGAGATGCATGCTCTCTCCCCACCTTGGAACTCCGCACCATGTCTGACAGCCTTACCTGTGATTGCAATCATGGTTCCGGGATTGTATTCCACAATTACACCCAACCCTGGAAAAGTCATAGTTCCAAGGGAATCATCCTCCCCCAGGGCAACCAGAAAATCAAACCATTCATTTTGTCCCTTTGTGTCACGATGTAAAGGAGTGGCTCGGTTGGTTATGACTGAGAGAGCACTGAATGGGGATGTCCAAACATTCAGTGCTTGCCTCAGCTGTGCTTCATCCTCAACAAAGTCCACACCATGTGCCGCCAGAATGCCGAAGGCTTCAATTCCTTGACAAAATAACTGAGGATGAATGATACTCAGGATGGCACCAATCAAAGCTGCTGATTCCTGCATCTTGAATTGCCATTGTGCTCCGGCGGTGTCAGCCTTCATCTGAGCTCCTACTTCCATCTTATACTCAGAGGACTGTTTGTATACTGTTTTAGTATGAAAATCAATGAAGGTTAAAAGCAAACCTCATGGCCTTGCTGGAACCATGCTGGAGACAAACTGACAGTCCCGGGTTTAAGTTGACAAGAGGAGGGATTCCGAAAATTGTTTGCCTTGAGTCTCCAATTTGTTGTTTTACTATCCATCTTGAGTACACTTTCTAGTCTCCAGAGTGATTGCCACATGGCGATCTGCAACAGGCCTGGTCAGTCATGCTGAACTCCCCCGCTCCCGCGCCTAGCCCCCGCGGCATCGATAAAGTGCCGAGCCGACAGCAGTTCAATGCCCGCATCCCAGCCCCGACGACATCATTCCACGTAACCCCGACGGCATGTGCGCCATCGGCACTGACTTACTTGACGCTGTTTTGTGATCAAATGTGGCAGGTACCAAACGAGCCCATTCCCGTGCTTGTCGGTGACCACCAAAGGCTCTGTCGCATGCACTGGAGGCTCATAGATTGGAGGGAATCTTCAAGTGATTTTTTCTTCTGCGGCTGGCTGTGTGCCATTCATGGCAGTTCCAATGCTGTCGCAATAACGGCTAGCATCCCAGGAGGTTTGCACTAGATTGGTCGATGAGAAACTTTGACGAGGAGTGGGATGGCTTTAGATCCTACCCTGATTTTGGACGGCCTCAACGAGGAGCAAAGCTATCTGGTCAACCTCATGGAGGAAGTTGAGGCTCCAGTGAGTAGGAAAAGATACATGCATGTCGTGATCTTGCCGGAGTATTGCCTGAAATTTGGTTGTTAGGTACTGTGCAATTTCCTGAGTCATTTGAAGAACCCCATGTTCCATGGTGGTAATATGTGAAGGTCACCCACAAAGACTTTGATCGAGTGAGCGGCCTCATGTAAACACCTGCTGGTTCCACCCTTAGCGGGCATGCTTTGCTGACCAGCGGCTGTGGGGTAAAGCAAGTAGATTTGAGGTGGAAGTATACAATTAGCTACAACGTGAAAGTAGGTTTCTAGGTACTATTGGTGTGGTGCCGACGGGACACCCAGAAGGCTGCCGTAGGTAGCTGCCGCGGGAAGAGACGCCGTCCCGCAAGCCATTTATAAGCATCCGGCTGGTCCGTTGGTAAAGGGATGTTTTGGAAAGTCCGGCCGGGACCGGTTGGCCCGTTCATTACGAGTGATTGTCACGTCCGGCTACTACGTTTGGTACGTGACGTAGTGACTGATATATGTGGAATGGCATGAGCGTCGCTCAAATGCAACCCAAACGTCCTCTATGTACCTCTACTTTGGTCTCATCGCTGTACTTCTTTCTCCGTCTTTGTTCTCCTATTTTACCCATATTCTTTCATTGTTGCTCTCCCTTCGCTGGCAGTTACTTATAATGGATTTGATGGTTACAACTCACTCATAGCATGGGCGGCTAAGTAAGTAAGTTGTACCAGCCGTTCTAGTGGCTAATTCCATCTCACACATCACAAATATTTTTTCCGCCACCGAGCCTACCATGCAATGTGATTTTTACAATCACGTATCCGCACTCTGCGGGGGCGCTCGCTTCGCCATCCGAGTCACCTGGCAATTGTACATCAGAGTTTTCAGAGGTACTTGTAAGGCTACATTAGAATTTACTATCTACATGGTATCATATAATCATGAGTACCTACGTGCATGATCATCGAAACGACTCATGTTGCATATGTTTCCCGCCCAGTTTCCGTACTCTAGAGTAATCTACCTGGTCAACAAGCATAATGTCACTGAGAGTCTTGACACGAGATAACACTATGAAGGTCAGACCAGTCGAAAATTCTCTCTTTCCTAAACCAAGTCTGATCCTGTTGAGGGTTAGGCCTTGAGATTTATGAACGGTGACTGCCCAAGCTAGTCGAAGAGGTAATTGAGTCCGAGACATAATTTTACCGTTTATCTCGAAGGTTGTCTTCAATGGAGTAACGGGAATAATTGGAACACCGTTAGGGAAGTTTGAGCGTGGCTCAGTATGCCACAATGTCGGCCCTTTATAGCTTTTGCAAGAAACAAGCACAGCAAGAGGCAGTTCAGAACACGTTGATCCAGTCGGCCACACCACATCTTCAACGATGCCGGTTGTCGCATTGACCAGACCTGTAACACCGAGAAGTTTACGGTTCACTCATCTGAAGACAGAAGAAGAGCTCAAGATCATATGAAAGCACACCTTGTGTTTGCCAGATGTTACGTGTGATCATCACTTTTGCGCCTTTTGCCAAAAGTATATGATTTTGAAGACCTCCTGCTTCATCAGCGGCAAGGGGGTGGCGGAACGTGGATCCCGCATATAGGGTTAGGGGGGGGGATCCGCCTGGGGGTCGAAATTTTTTTTGGGACCTACTGTGTAAAGTCCTTCCGATTAGCCCAAATAACGCTCACAAAGAAGTCGGAGCGTTCAGATGTACAGCAAATAGCTAATCTACAACTGAGAGCCAAGACAAATTTTTTTGTAATGCCTGGATGCCTTGTTCACGCTGCATTCTGTACGCACTACCCTGTGTCCGGGCCCTTTCAGGCTGAGGTTAAACGTTACTATCACTTGTGGGAACTTTGCAAGAGCATCAACTTTGCAAATCCGTTTCATTGACAGTATTCTGCCCCGAGTTGCTTCTACAAAGGACATATTTTTATAAAACTACACTTCAGGTAGTCATACATCTAGTCTATGTATCCTAGCTATCTCGACAATTGTCAATGAAACGGTATTTGCAAAGTTGATGCCTTTGCAAAGTTCCCACAAGTGATAGTAAAGCGCTACTAGTAAAGGCTCACAATCCATTCGGGCTTCTCAGCTCTGGCAGCCGTATCATGTTTGCGCACCCTGTGGTCGGCGTCCCGCTGTTCGCCACCCCAATGTACAACAAGCTCGGTAGTATGGGAAGCTGGAAGGGAGACCCCGTGCTCGCATGTATGTGTATAGCGCTTGAATGCCCTGCGTATGTTTTTTTCTTCCTCTGCGGCGTGAGTCTACTAACTCTACCAAATTCTTCTTGTTGTGGAAGTACAGCCTCAGGCGGGTATACGCGCACGATTCTCCGCAGCAGCATCACCCAGAGGGACAACAAACCAGATAAAAAGGCAAGGCTAGCCGTGGAGTGAAGTCTTGCATGTGTTAGACTTGTATGGATATGGGAGTGAAGCGTCGTCGCATGTAGAAACTCAAAAATGTAAGATGTTTTTAACATAGGAACTTGGCAAAGTTATGTTTTCAACATAGTAACTTGGAAAATTTCCTTTTTGGGGGGGGTAAAGGGGAGGGGGGTACGTCGAAGGTGCCCTAATTCTTTTTGGGACTGTATATGCAAAATCCACGTTCCGCCACCCCCTTGATCAGCGGCAGCCTTCGCAGCTGCCGGGCCACCATCGTGTCTTGCAACGATACTAGCACACGGCTGATTGAGGGCTTGTAATTCTTTGATATTGAGGTCATGAACATCAGGAACACACTATGAACAAAGTATTGTAAGTGTCGAGAAAGGTACATACTTCAAACAAAATAACACCTGAAAGGTCAACGCACCCAATTTGGATCCGACACCACTCTCGGAATCAACACCTGGCTACATGACCATGGCCTTCCCTACTCTATTCCCGGATGGTGCTGGTGACTTCTACCAGAGCCGATTACGAAAGGTCGATCTCGGAGACTATTTTGCTCATTTGCTTCGCTTTCGAGGTGGACGATTTGCGCAACACAAAAGGTTCCCGTGGTTTGCGTTCAATACCCTACAACGAGCTAGAACAAGAAGTCAATCGAAAATCTTTGTTAAGCAGCAACATGACGCAGCATGGCTCACTGCTGCGGACATCCAGACGATGTTGGCCGAAGGCGATCAACATATCGCCAACCAAATGGTTCGCTATGGTGCAAATTTACGAGGGACATGGGCCTATTGGTCTGCCCGCCACAATGAACTGTTGGATTTTATCCAGAAAAAGGGTACACCAGACATCTTCTGGACCCTGAGTGCGGCTGACTTGCAATGGCCTGACCTGCATCGACACATGCCACAAACCAAAGACCCCACCAGCGATCCTAAAGTTGCTCGACAGAGAAGGCGTCTTGCATTGAATAAAAAGCCCCACATTGCCGCAGCATATCTTGACCAGCGGCTGCAGGTTTATTTCAAACATTTTCTGTCGCCGCTACTGGGCATCCGTCACTTTTGGTATCACTATGAGTGGCAAGAAAGGGGAAGTGGCCACATACATGGCTTTATCTGGTTGAAGGATGGGCCGAAAGCTGATGAGATTGACTGGGAGGTCTTGACACGTCTGGATGCTATAATATCTGAAGATCAGGCAGTCAAGATGCGTCAATTCACTGAATACTGGAATAGACTTGTTACCGCCTCGAGCCCTTTTCCGCGAGAAGACGACAACATGCTGCTGATTGGCAAACACCCATGCAGCCTAGAACGAGACACCCTACAAAACACAAAGCAAGAGTTAGCGGATCTTTTGAACTGGACTGAAAGACATACGAAATGCATGCCTGGATATTGCCTTGTCAAACGAAAAGTTCCTGGGCACGAAGAACCTCAGGTTCTTTGCTGTTTCGATTACCCGATGCCATTGCGACAAGAGGCTCAAGTGGGAGTAGACAGTAAAGGCCGTGTTCGGTTTGAACCACGCAGGAATGACCGACTCATGAACCCATACAACCCTGCTATGATCCTCGGGTGGCGCGCAAACATTGACCTAAAGCCGGTCCTCAGTAAAGATGCTGCCATCAATTACATTGCAAAGTATGCCTCGAAAGCTGAAAAACAAGTGCCTGCATTCCCTGAACTGTTGGCCAGCATTGCAAATTCAATGGAGGAGGATGGAACTGCCCAATCAGCCTGCCATAAGATGTTGAACAAGATGCTTGGAGAAAGGGCATATTCAGCACAAGAGACCGCTCACCTTTTGCTTGGAATTCCCCTTGTTCGCACTTCAGTCACATTTCAAACACTCTATATTGGCCCAGAGGGTGGATTCCGCGAACTTGGGGCAAATGACGGAGACGACGCCGAAATCGCACTTGCAGAAGGCGGAGAGGATCAACCAGTCACAGGCGAATCCTGGATCCAACGCTACATGAAACGTCCTCCTGAAATGGAGGCTCTGTCAATACACGACGTCCTGACCAAGTATACGTGGACAAAATCAGAATGGAGAAAAAGACGGGAAACAACTGACACTGTTTTGCGCGTCTACCCGCGGTTTTCCCCAAACCCAGAGGATGATAGGTACGAAGACTTTTGCTGAACAAAAGTTCTCCTTCACCACCCTTTTCGAGATCTCAAGGCTCTTCGTGATAACGAGGATCAGCTGTGGTCGGAGATATATGCCCAATGTCGCGTTCGTGGACATGGACACCCAAAAGATACCCTCCGTTGCTGGGAGGAAGAAAACCGTGAAGGGAACGACGAAGAAGAAGACGAAGATGAGCTTCTGAATGCAGAGCTAGCTGACCTCGAAGAGGCAGACTGGCAAGCATGGGCAAGACTTCGCCCTACCGCAGATATACCATTATACGGCACAGATGACATCGGCCGTCGACCTATTGACGATGGTTGGGATATCGACGCTTCCCGAGAAAGATGGAATGATGTGAATCTGCTGTCTTCATGGATTGACGAACAAAAACGTGAACAGCAAAAAGATGACGTACCCTTAATCGACCTTGATACCCTTGAGGGAGAGCAACGGGTAATCTTCGATCAGTACATGGAGGGGTATGCAAGAATCCTGGTGGACGAGGAACCACCTCAGATGTTGTTCAACATTGATGGAACAGCGGGCTGTGGCAAAACATACTTGATCGCTATGCTTGGCCTGCGTACTTTGGCACAAATTAATTCTCGTTGTCGACAACTCTTTCCCAAGAATGCAAACTTGCCGTTTGGAGGTCTAAATGTTGCTCTTGTCGGTGACTTCGCACAACTCCCGCCCGTCGGAGATACACCTTTGTACTCTCTGCCATCATCTGCAGCTTCTGAAAATGGATCCCTCAGCCGAGATGGTAGTGCGTTATACCGCCTGTTCACCCGGAGCTTTCGACTACAGGTCATTCACAGACAAGGTGAGACTCTCCTGACCAGATCAATTTTCGCAACATGCTCTCCCATGCATCCCGTGGTGGTCTGAACCAGGAAGAATGGCGGCTCCTTGACTCATGATCAGGCAGGAACCTCAGCCCTGAGACTCAGCGCCTGTTCGAGGATTCAGTCTGCCTGTATACAACACGCAGCCTCATTGCTTGTGCAGCACCTTGTCGCAGCTGTTCGACTTCAGGACGTTCTTGATTTCCAAGGTCAATGACTCCACCAACAAACTGGGCATTTTCATTTTCTTCTTCTTCGTTGTTGGCAGCTGTGGCGGTGTCTGGTCCGACAGGTATAGCACCACCATCTTGCCTACCCTCACGACAAGTAGGGATACGATGGGCGACAGAACTGTTTACTGGGAGCTGCAGCAGGGCACCTTCATCGATGACCAAATCTGCGTAGTCTGGATCATTCGCGATTTTGTATTCAAAATTCACAGAAGCTAGGCTAATAAGCTGAGGGTATCCTTCACTTTTTCTCGGCGCACCGTAAAGTCAACATGTCGACTTAGATCAACGTCTTCTTTGCGAATGATCACCAGGTCAATCTCCTCTGGCAACCGAGGTAAGTGAGTTGCAATCTCAGTGATATCTTGGCGGAAGTTGATTATGTGGTCTTGATAGCATAATTGACGTCCTTTCGTCCAACGGACCTGCATATAGGACTTGACTCGAGTGATCACCATATCTTCCATGTCAGTCAGGCCTTTCAAACATGCAGGTACGTCTTGTGCTATTCGAGAAATTAGACGAGTAGTTGACTGGAAATATTGAAAATGGCAGACCGGGCTGCACATTATTCGCTGCCGACCACTTTCGCACCGGATCAGCCTTATCACGTCGACAACTTGAACACATTCCATCTTCTACATTCATCCCGAAACCTTCTTCAAGACAGTGATCGCATGTTTCGAATTTGATTTTGTCTAATTCTTTCTTGAGGTTTCTTAGGAGGGCAGATTCTCGCTCAGTCAATGCCTTGTTGTCAGGAAGGTCAAGGTTCATAAGATCGGCACCATCGCCAAAGACAGCATCAAATTCGTCTGCATTCGTTGTTGCAACACCTTCGGCATCGCCTTGAAGTAAGGCAGCAGCCTCTTGTTCATGTTCGAGGTCTCCCATCGCAGCGCGCTCCAGCTCAACACGCCGCTCACGCCTCAGTGTCAGACATGCACGGCAAGTTGCTCGCAGAGTTCCATTTTCCGCCATACAGTCTTCAACAGAAACCTGATGTTTACCATACGTGCAATAATGTTCTCCTTGGTTTACGGCGACAACATCATTTCGTGGATGTCAAGAATATGCGCATATACTCACCCTGAATTTCGGCTTGTGTACGTTTTCTGTCCACACGTACCATGGCTCTATCGCGACAGCTGTTGCATGTTTTGTATAATTGAATATGGTCTCCTTTTCTGAAATGTTTTCTTTTCTTGAGCTTGCGGCAGGTTGTGCATTTTTCACGCTTCTGACATGGTGCGCAATGTATTTGGGAAGGGTCTGCATTCTCATAAGGTAGCGGACAGCCATACCTCGCTAACGTCACATGAGGTGACATTTTGGTGACATTTCAGTCCTAAACGGGTGAGGGCATGTCAGCATTGGAAAGTATGGCGATCATGTGTGGCGATCTGTGTGGTGATCTGTATGGCCGGAAATGTGACATTCGACACGTGATGTTCAAATATTAGTTCTGCATCGTGTCGCGTCGCATTGCACGCTTCACCATGCTCCTTATTGACCTAGTTGAGCAGCTCAGAGGTCATGCCGTGCTTCAAGAGATCTCCAAGAGATCTCCCTTAGTGTTCTTATGACATTTTCGTAGGGATTGTCATGGCTAACCCCGGGGTATTCCCAGGGTTGTACCCATACCTGTCAGAACTTGTACCCGCATCCACGGGTGTGGGTTTTTGCGGGTACAGGTAGCGGATTTATAAAATCCCAGGGGTACCCCAACCTGCGGGAGGGTATGCCTCCATAAATGACCAATGAACCTCGCAAGGGCAGTGCGAGTGTCAATTGACACTGCCGTGCATCCTTGCGAGGATCGGAAGATCAGGGGAATGGCAACTTCACCCCAGGATTTTGACAGCATAGGCAGGGTTGGTCTGCGAGGCAAGGTCCGTTGGTGGAAGTCGACGTTGTGGGGAATGATACATGGTGGGTTCTTGGGTCGTGGTGCTGTTGTGATGGTCGGTCGGTGGAAAGAAGGGGAGAGTTTGCGGGCGCACCTTGCATACCCACCCTCTCATTGTGGCTATCCTCAACATGCCCTTTCACGCCTGCTCTTTGTGGTCGTTTTGACAGGTTGCTAGAGATGGAGTAGTTAATAATTAGAAAATAAAGAGAAATGCCAGGGGGAGCTCACCTGGGCCCATGTCCGCTCACGTTTGTGGGTGGTCGTTTGCATTCATGGGCGGGTCGTCGTGTCCTGGGCGCTCGTCATTTGTAGGGCTCTTTCGCCGGCGGTGGACGTCATTCGTGGGTGGGTGGGCTGCTGTTCATGCGCGGCACTGTCGCTTGTGTTGTTCGTGGGCATGTGGGCTCGTTCCGTGTTGTTGTCGTGCTGTGGCATCGTGTTTTCGTCATGCCGCATCGTTCGTATGTTGCCAGGTTGCTGACAGCAACGTGGCCTCTGCATCTGGAGTGAGAGGGGCATGGGAAACATTGGTAGGCACTTGCCTGAACGACTTGGACAGCAAAGACGGCATGCGTTGTCACTGTCTAGGCGATGTGGCACATCTGCCACGTCGTCTCCACTACCCACATGGCCATGCACTAGTTTTGTGACATGGCAATCCTGGGTTGTTGCTGTCGTCGTCCATGTGTGCCAGGGTGCTTGTGGGAGGTCGTCGAGGGTAAGTAGTGGGTGGATGTCGAGGGTAAGTAGTGGGTGGATGTCTTGTCTTCCTAACCAGTGATGCAGGACCGATGTAGCCGCCAAACATTCCGCCAAACATTTCGCCACATACACCGCCAAACATTCCAATTCTGACATTTTTTGAAACGGGTGAACTTGAATGAAAACATGGATATTAACAGTGTTGACTTGACCCCTTTGACCTGGTCAACAGACAGGGTCAAGTCAATGGGTCAGTCAATAATTGACCAGTCAGTCAATAAAGGTCAAAGGGGTCAAAGTCACGCGGCTCATGCCATTTTATTAATGTGTAAGCCAATTTGACGATGTACCTGAGCTAGTAAATGTGCCCATAACATGGGGAAGAAGTGCGAATAAAATTCTATTAGCTGGCATTTTCTTGCTCTTGTCTCAATATGCCATGAAAAGTACTTCTGTGAGAGCATTTCTATGCTAATAGGTCAAAACTTGAAGGAAACAATGCAGATAGCAACACGTGGTCCAAATACTGCACTTGTGCAAGAGGGCCATTGCAAGCATGGCAGATACGAGTCCTTTTTATATTCAGGAAGCTACAATGCAGCACCACAACATTCACATTTTTGATTATTCAGGAAACTAGTCATGTGACCACCTCCTGAAAGCCCATCAGATTTATACCCATTAACTATATATATATAGTATTGCTATTTTACATTGGATAAAGTGTATATTTCCATTTACCTACAGAGAGTACCTACATATACATTGAAAGCAACAACCAGTATTATCCTCCATTTTTCTCTAAATTTTTCCAGTCTTTTATAGTTAATTTCAAGTAGATTACTACATATGGAAAGTTCTCCTGGACTCTGACCATGCTCCCCAATATTGCACAAGCAGTAACATTCCCTCAATTTCTTATTGCTATTTTTAACTCAAAAAGTGCAAATAACCTCAGTTGAAAATATGCTATGTAACATTGTCATCAATAGTGCACATTGCCCCCCATTTGTTTCTGATTTGTCTTCTATTTTTATTGCTATATTTCCTTTCAGGAAATGTTCATTAGACCAATGGACCAGAAGTCAAGTAGTGATTTGTGGTTGGTGGCAGATGTCTCATCTACAATGAACACTGGAATGAATGCTTCCACTACCTATACAAAGTTGCCACCCATCCCCTGGTGCATAACACCATTAACATCAAATGCATCCTCATGTACATGGTAGACATGATCCTGCAGCATTAAAATACAAAGCTGCATGGGAAGACGCCACAATGGCTCAACATGGTAAGCAAATGCAAGTGGATCAACACTGTTGTTTTTAACATTTTATCACAGGGCTTCTTCGCCTCATGGACAGCACTGTCATATACGCCTGCACATTGAACTATCCTAAGGATTGAGTGACTGGTTTACAGAAGGCAGAATACAATGTAATCAATTCATGGTGCTTTGCAGGGTAGGCAGATTAATACAATGTAATACAATAAATTGTTAAACAACAATTCAGAAAACGTCTCCTCAATCCTGAAGTAGTAAAAGAGTTGTATATTGTCCAAGGCATAATACTGGGCAAACCTGAGGATATGACCAGGAATGCATGTACCAACTAAAAATAACAAAGGGGAATATGTAGGGGGTGCTGCCATCGAACAGACTGGTGTTAAAGGTGTGAAGGGTACTCACTGCTACTCTACTACTTGCACACATGTAGTAGTATCAAAATGAGTCTACACTGAAGGGAATTGAGCCACAGGAAGGTCTTGGGCAGAGTTTAGCATAAGTTCAAAAAACACGAAATTACAAACAGATGTACCTCCACAAAGGGTCAACAGATTCATAAGTGGTTTGTTGGAGCATTTTTGAGATGTGAAGTAGTGTCCAAATGAGTCCACATTGAAAGAAATTGAGCCATAGGAAGGTCATGGGCAGAGTTCACCATAAGTGCAAAAACATGAAAATACAAACAGACATACCTCCATGAAGGGATGACGGATTCGTAGATGGCTTGTTGGAGCATTTTTGGGATGTGTAGTAGTATCGAAACGAGTTTACACTGAAGGGAATTGAGCCACAAGAAGGTCCTGGTCATAGTTTATTATAAGTCAAAAAAACATGAAAGTACAAATAGAAGTACCTCCACAAGGGGTTGACAGATTCGCAAACGGTTTTTTGGAGCATTTTCGGGACGTGAAGCACTATCCAAACAAGCCTACATTCAGGGAAATCGAGGCACAGGAAGGTCTTGGGCAGAGTTTAGCAGAAGTGCAAAAACATGAAAGTACAAATAGACGTACCTCCACGAAGAGTTGACGGTTTCATAAACGGTTTGTCGGAGCGTTTTGGG